GTCATTTTCTTGCTGACTATGGACTGTGCATGTGAACATAAGTGGGAATGTGTGAAAGTTCTTTCAGTCTGCAGGCCGATGCTCTATCCACTGAGCCAAACCGGTTAGGGCCTTTTGAAAGTTCTTTATATTTGCCTGTGAGCATTTTATGTGTTCTTCTATGGGGTTCACCAAGTGGAAAAGCAGGGTCTGCAGGGGCTGCTCACACACGTGCCCAGAGATATCTGGGACCGCTGTGGCTCAGATGCTTTCCCCGGGACAGCCTGTGGGCATAAACCTTCGCCTTGGGTTTGGTTTTTGGCCACACTGGGCTTGTGAGGAGCTGCAGAAACCAGAGTGGGGGAATGTGCCACACTGCAGCATTGCCGGCTCCCTCTTCTGCTGGGGTCCTCTGGGGAGAAATCACGTCGTGGGGGTGGGGAAAGAGGCCAGTGTCCAGGTTCCAAGTTGTCCGGGATATCCTGATGGAAGCAGAGGTGGAGGAAGGAGTAGCAACACTGTCCAGTACAAACCTCCATAGGGTGGGCCCAGGCAGGGTTTGCATCACAGGCTGGAACAACAGGGGATGGAGGGACCCGGCCAAATGGCCTCTGAAAGCCGGTCACAGAACGTGTCCTGAGTGTGGGACAAGGCTGTGGGGCCTGAGGAACTGAAGTGACCTTTGGAAATGAAGATTTCCAGTGACACCCAGCCGTCGTGGCTCAGTGGTTGAGCATCGACCTATGAACCAGGAGGTCAGGGTTCAATTCCCGGTCAGGATACATGCTTGGGTTGCTGGCTCGATCCCCAGCGTGAGGCCTGCAGGAGGCAGCCGATCAACGATTCTCTTTCATCATTGATGTCTCTGGCTCTCTCTTCCCTCTCCCTTCCTCTCTGAAATCAATAAAAAGAAATATATATATTTTTTAAATCTCCAGTGACATCTCCTGCTGCCCCTGAAGGCCAACTTTCCCTTCTTTCTCACTTGCCATTGTTGGCTGCTCCCTTTGGGAACTTCGCCATATCATGTCCCTTGGTTCTCTTGTTTTTCTGAAATTCGCTTCTTGTTTTTCTTCATTGACTCCTCTTCCTCAGCCAACCCCTTAAATGTCAGGTCCTCCAACATTCCTGTCTGCTTCTTGGTCTGCAGTACAGGTTCTCTGAGCAGTACATACACTTAAGTTGGAGGACATCCTCTTCACCACTGTCTCATCTATTCTACTGGTCTGCCTAAGCCCCTCTGTCAAACCCTCCAATTAGTGTGTCAGCCTTCCACCTCTCTCTTGGACCTCGACCTGGAGATCTTTTCATGACCGTTCCTGAAGCTCCTCCAATTCCCCACGCGTCAGAGCAAACTTCTCATTTCCTTCCCAGCCTGTTCCCCCGGCTTCCCTCACTCCGTTCGTGGTGTCCCCAGCCCCAAAGCTAGATGTTCTAGATTATTTTTGGCTCCTTATTCTTCACCTCCAAGAGATCAAAAATGGTGTCAATTCTACCTTTATTTCGTAGCGCTCACATTTTTCTTGTCTTGTCCATTCTCATAGCCGCTCTCATGACTTGGAGTTTTATTACTAGACTCTCCTCTTTCCAGTTCATCCCACATACCCCTGCAGGAGAAGCCTCTTTCCAAACCTCATTTTAAAGTTTATATTTTAAGAGAGGAGAAGGTGGTGGCATAGGTAAATGCCTGAACTCACCGCCTCCCACAGCCACATCAAAATTACAACTAAAATACAGAACAACCATCACTCAGAACTGCCTGACAGCTGGCTGAATGGAGGGGAGGTCGCCGCTGCGGAGGCCGCCCATGAGGAGCAAGGGGTCCCAGCCCCATGCATACCCCCAGCCCAGGCTCCCAGAGCTGGGAAGAGAAGTCCCCTAACTGTAAAAACTAGCGGGGATTGGGGCTCAGTGACACGGAAGCTGCTAGAGACCCAGGTGTTCCTTTTAAAGGGCCAGTGCACAACCTCAGTTTACAAAGTCCCACTTCCTCTGAGCTCCAGCGCCAGGGCGAGGCTCTGGGGAACCCAGACACATACCGGAAGGAACTGGATTGTCTGGCATCAGGGAAGGAACTCCGGGCAGCTTTCTCCCAAATGGAGGTGCTTGCAGGGTCATTGTTCCTGTGCTGGGACCTCCCTGGTCACAGGGCTGACTGGCAGCCATCTCTGTTTGCTCTGCCCTGGTGATTCCTTAAGAGCCCGCCCCATCCAATTTATAGCCGCATCTGATTTGAAGCCTCACCCAACCTGTTAGCAGCAGCTTTCAGACTACAGTAGTAAAACCTCTAAACAAGCTACAGCTGGCTCAGCGCGCCCCAAGCCGAGCAGTAAAAGGCCCAGGACCCGGCACCAGCAGGAGCCTGCCTTGCTTCCCAGCTGGGCCTCGTCTGGGCACCTCCAAGCCCAATACAAATAGCTCCTGCAGGGCGGCCCCAGGCAGGGGCTGACTGCACCTCCCTGGAGGCCCTAGAGCCGGTGCACCCCGCGGACAGCTGCAGACCATAGCAGGTTACAGCTCTACACGTCCATGAGCGACACACTCAAGGGGCAGACTCAGTGAGCACCAAAGCCCCACTGAAGCAAGTCCTGCCTCATAGAGGTGTTTCCTACACACAAGGAATCTAATGAACAAAATAAGCTGGTGAATAAAACAGAATCAGAGGCCTGGAAGCATGGTACAGACGGGTGAATCTCAGGGGGAAGTGGGCAGGGGGTGTGGGAAGAGATTAACCAATGGTGAAGTCCTGGGGCGGGTGGAAGGGAGCAGTGGGGGAGCGGGAAGGGGGGGACAGCTGTAATACTCTCAACAATAAAGATAAAAAAATAAAGTTTATATGTTAAAGTTTAACTAGTTTTTTCCACTGTTATTGCCTGCATACCGCATCTTCCTCAAATGTAAATTCTTTGGGTTGATTTCTGGGTTGGGTGGAGTACTATGAGTCATTTTTGTTATAATTGTTAATTCTCACTGGAGGATGTTTTTCCCCTGATGATTTTTAGCGACAGTGGAAGCAGGGCAGGGGGGTGTGGTGGGGGAGAGACAGAGAGAGAGAAACATCTATGTGAGAGAGACATCGATTGGTTGCCTCCTGCATGCGCCCGGACCAGGTCTGGGGATCGAACCTGCAACCCATGTATGTACATACGTACGTGCCCTTGACTGGGAATTGAACCTGTGACTGTTTGGTGTGTGGACTTGTGCTCTAACTACTGAACACACTGGCCATGGCTATCAGTCATTTTTTAAGAAAAGACAGTATACATGGAGGGTGAACATTTGGAGTCGTTGCATTTTTAAAATGTCTCTTTTTCTCTATGGGATATAACATTCTTGGGCATTGATTCTTTTCTTTCAAAATACCATAGACATTACTCCATTGCGTATATATGTCTACTTAATTGCATATAGTATATAAGATATACACGTATGCATTTAATTGTAAAATATATCATTCCTAGAGAAGACTGCATATAACACACCTGTATAGTTTGCAGAACAATTTTGAAGCTCTGTTTATATAACTACCAATGAGGTCAAGAAATAGAATGCTGTCAGTACCCATGTGCTTTGTTGTTGGGTCTAGGGCTCAACCTATGTACCATCTTTCATCAGATATGGCAAAAGAGGGAAGATAAGAAGTCGTGCCTTACAGCAAAAGTTAGAAATGGCAGGTGAATGGGCAGAGAGTTCTGAAAGAGAGTGACGTTTAAGGCCATAAATGTCGATCTCTGGGGAAATAGAAGGAAAAGTAGAAGCCGCTGACGGGGCTCATCACTGATTATACTTTCAGGCACCGGTGTCCTATAGAAAAATACACTTCCGATAGATATGCTGGACTGGAGGGAATGTACAACTGGCCGAGAGACCAGATGAGAAGCTATTTTTCATGTCCACGACTATTCCAAAGATATTTAGCATTTGCTGAGCAATTACTAGGTTCCAGGCTCTGTGCCAAGCACTTGACTTGTGTTCACTCATTTATTCCCATGAGATAAGAGCGATTACTATTATTCTATTTTATAGCTGAAGAAACTGAGGATGAGCACGATGTAGGCACATGGTTAGTAAAGGATGGAGATGGGATTTGAATCTGTGCTCACATCTATGTTCTTAACCAATACCCTTATACCGAACTAGAGGCCCTGTGCACCAATTTGTGCACCAGTGGGGTCCCTCGGCCTGGCCTGTGGGATTGGGCCAAAACTGGCTCTCCGACATCCCCTGAGTGGTCCCGGATTGTGAGAGGGTGCAGGCCAGGTCAGGGGACCCCACCGGTGCAGGATCAGGACTGGGGAGAGACGGGGAAGGTTGACCAGCCAGGGAGGGACCTCGGGAGGGCTCCAGGGCGTGTCTGGCCCACCTCACTCAGTTCTGATAGGCCGGACCCCAACAGCAAGCTAACCTACAGGTTGGAGCATCTGCCCCCTGGTGGTGAGTGTATGTCATAGCAAGCAGTTGAGCGGCCTTAGCATATCATTAGCATATTACGCTTTGATTGGTTGAATAGCCGACTGGACACTCAGCATATTAAGCTTTTATTATATAGGATTAGATTAATAGTGTACAACCAGGAGGAGTGGCCCCTTGGGAAGAAGGAAAATTGGGTCTGGAGTCCAGGAAGGAGATTAGGTTTGAGGAAGAGGTATGAGGCCATCTGCTTGGAGGTGGTCTCTAAGTGGGGTGTTTTATGACGCAGAAATAGGCAGCCAGAGAGAAGGGGTAGCTGATTAGGTCAAGGAAGAGTCCCAGACAGAGAGAGTCAGGGGGACACAGGATCTCCTCTGTGGGAGGTTTCACATAATTGGGATTGACTTTCATGAAGGCTCAGGGTGTGGCCCAAACATTACACTGCCACTCAGTAGGGGGGAAAGTCAGCAGATTTTCCTTAGTCCATTCTCCAGCATGTCTCTTGCCCCTCCTCCCATTTTTCTAATTAAGGCTTCAAATTAGGAAGTAGCTTAGCGATTAAAAAGGAAGTAGATGACTCGGAAACATATAGGAAACTGGAAAGAGGAGAGGGCGGATGAGCCACGCTCTGTTGCAGACATCTGGATTCCAGCTGGGACTTGGATTTGCTGGGGACACCAGCCAGGGATATAGGACCATGTGGCTGCCTCCAGCTCTGCTCCTTCTCTGCCTCCCAGGTGAGTGGGGCTGGGGCTTGGGGGGCCTGCTATTACAAGGGGCAGGACAGAAGGTAGAAGGTGTGCCCTGGGTTTAAGCCAGAGGCTAAGCAAAAGCAGAAACGGGAAGGACACACCGATCCATCCACCTGAATATTCTGCTATGCATCTAAACATCCGTCCACAGATCCCACAGACACCTATTGAGTACCAAGTGTGTGCCAGGACTGTTCCAGATGCTGTAATTAACACTTTCTGCACTCAGGGGCTCATGGTTGAATGAGGAAGTCAAGTAATTCCGATACAACGTGGAGCTCGTTGTAGAAGAGACCCCTAACTCTCCTGTTGGAAGGACACTAGTCTTTGCTAAGGCCTCACTGGACGTTGGTCTTGAAGAATGAGTGGAAAGGGGAATAGGTTGCGTAAAAGTGTGGTGCTAGAGCAGCGGTTCTCAACCTGTGGGTCGCGACCCCTTTGGGGGACGAACGACCCTTTCACAGGGGTCGCCTAAGACCATCGGAAAACACATATATAATTACATACTGTTTTTGTGATTAATCACTATGCTTTAATTATGTTCATTTGTAACAATGAAAATACATCCTGCATATCAGATATTTCCATGACGATTCATAACAGAAGCAAAATTACAGTTATGAAGTAGCAACGAAAATAAGTTTATGGTTGGGGGTCACCACAACATGAGGAACTGTATTAAAGGGTTGCGGCATTAGGAAGGTTGAGAACCACTGCGTTAGAGAGATCGTGGAAGGCTCAGGAATTGGCAGTGGTTCTGTTTTGTCGGAGTCCAGTTGAAAGGAGTTGGAAAGATTTGCTAGAAAGAATTAATGGGGGGGGGAGGTCTAAAATGCCATTTTCAGCATTTACCTTACATTTTTTTCTAGAGTCAAGGTGTGATGTAAGCAAGTAAATGAAATTGTCCACCCCAGGCTGGACTTTTAGAAGAGCAACTCTTAGAAAAGACATTGCACATGCCTGAGGGCACATGTTTTCCCCTCTGTGGGAAGTAAGTTTAGGATAAAAATGAGAGGGTAGTCTTCATGCTCATAGAATAATTTTATGGTTGGGTTTCCATATGAAGCATAGAACCTGCCCAACACAATGATAGTCTCTTTTAGAAAACTGGGTGGGAAGGCAGAGATTTCAAAGGGTGACACTGACCTTGTGTAGTTTCCTAATAAGTGGAATGAATGAGTGGACTGGCTGACCTTCGAGGCGTCCTAAGGCCCTCATAATCCAAGTCTTAGATGCAGAACGACATTCCAGAGATGTATTTCCGTACACCTGGGAGGTGCTCGAAATGTCTTAAAAGATGATGACGATGTTCATGGATAGACATTTTGTGAATCACCATCGGGGACGGGATGGGCACGCAGAGAGTGTTGGCTGGGGCCAGCTTGCACGGGCTCACGAGAGTCGATGATGAGCGTGTTTTCCCAACCTCACGTTCAGTGACAGCATGTGGTTAGCCTGAGATCAGTCATAGTGAGAGTGTTTACACCAGGGAAATTGGCAAATGCTTCAAATCAGGCCTTCTTCCCCTCTCCCCCGCAGAGAGCTGGTTATCAGCTTTGTCACTACTTGTTTTAATGTACTTGCTTCAATGAGATAAAGTTACCTAAATGCCCTAGCCTGGGTGCAGTGAACGGATGACGGAGAGCACGTCCCACCCCTTCGTGTGCAGCTGGCTGACCTCCACAACCCCACAGGCTCACCTTTCCCTCCAGGGCCCTTTGCAGCTGGGGCTCAACTGAAAACTTCAAAGTCACTAGGACAGACTTGCATGTCCAGTCTCCTTTTTCATCCCCGCTCCTGTCTTTCCAGGCCCTGGGCACTCTGATTTTGGGTGACCAGCTCATACCCCAAACCTGTGTCAGGAAGCCTAATAGGGCCTCCTTGGGAACCTGCCCCTTCTCAGTGGCCAGGGGTGTGACAGAGTGTGTTGATCCTCCCTAGAGAGTCCTGGAGAGCCAGAGATTTAGTTTTCCTCCCTCACGGACACACGGAGAGCGGAGTAAACAGACGCGGACTCTTAAAGGACAGGTCCGAGTTGTAGGAAGTCCAGCATGCATAGCCCTCACTCCAAAGGGAGGTTTGAGTAATGACCAAATCTCCCCCCTGCCCCCGCCCGCCCCCCTGGCAGAGGCTGCAGGCTAAGCACAGGGCAGGACAGCCAGCTCTCTCTGCTCCCACCTCCAGCTGTGGGCCGACTCTGCCTGTCCCCAAGGGACAGGGGCCCCTGTGGTTACTCCATGTCTCTGGGCACCCAGAGCACAGGCTTCTCCTCCCGCTGACTGCAGTCCCCAGACCCTCTGGCTTCGGTCTAAGCTCAGGTGTCCTTCCAGGTCGCCATTCCCGAGCCCAGAACCGTCCACACCTCCCTGGCCCCTTCCCCCGGGGCCTCCAGGCAGCTGCTGCTGCTGTTACTGGGGGCCAGGGGATGGAGTCCTGGGACGGATGTGGTTTGTGTTTTCCAGGCTGCTGGTCCCTGGTGGGCCCCAGATTTGTGACCGGCACCACGGGGGACTCCCTAACCATTCGGTGTCGGTATGAGAAGGATTACAAGGGGTATAATAAGTACTGGTGCCGAGGACAGTATGACACCGACTGTAACAAGATTGTGGAGACCCAGGGAACAGAGAGAGAAGAGAGAAGTGGCCGTGTGTCCATCAGAGACAACGCTGACTCCCTCACCCTCACAGTGACCATGGAGAACCTCAATGCAGCCGACGCTGGATCCTACTGGTGTAAAATTCAGACAGTGTGGATCCTGGACGAGTGGTCACGTGACCCCTCGTTCCAGGTTCAGGTGTCTGTTTCCCCAGGTAAGAGCTCCCCTTGCTCCTCATGGGATATCAGACTAACTCTCTCGATTGCGTTCCTTCTTCACCTGCAAACTTCCGTGCAGCCTAACCCGTTCTTCCCTCTTTCTCTTTTAGGTTGAGGGTAAAGTTTTCTCCCCCAGTTCAAGAGCAATGCTCCTGTGGCTGGCTTCTCACCCCATGGCTCCTTGCCTCCCATCCCCTTGGGCCAAATCCCCTCTTTGCTGATCCGTATCCTTTCTCCATCCATTACCCACACCCTTCCCGATCCTCAGCCTCTTCCTCATCACTGCTCTTCGCCTCGGCCTATCCCCTGTGCATGTCAGCTGGTAATCCTGCGGCCTCCTCCCCCGGCCACTGTTCCTCCTTCCCTCCTTTCCGCTGGCCTGGAAGGTGGATGAGGGACGCTTCCTCCTCGATGCTCCAGCTGTGCCCGGTGGGGTCCCACCCAGAGTCCACACTTTCCATTAAAGCGAGTCAATTGGTCTGTTTAGGTGTCTCTGCCTCTCTGTGAGGGCAGGATGGTGCCACATCCATCAACAAGTCCCCGACAGCAAGGACCTCGAAGGCTGTGGTTGGGTAAACCTGAGCCTGTGCTGGGTGCTCTGTGAAGGGCTGAGCCCGGATGACTGCTTTTCAGGGGCCATCAGGAGGCTCAGATAGAGTGGAGGTGGGGCTGTCTGAGCACCCGAGGTCCTGGGGAGAGCTGGGTGACACCTACCCCATCCCGCTTTGGGTTAAAGTGGCTTTAGTTCCCATATAAATGGCGCTCTGAGCCCCTCCCACAGTCTCTATGAGGCTCTGAGCCATCTTCATCCAGAATACCCCCTCCGAGGCTCCCATCAGGCTGGGGAACCCCTGAGGGACCCCTGGCCTCACCCCCGGTAGAATCAGACTTGGGGTGGAAGGAACAACCTGGCATTTACTAGAGGTGATTCTTGGCTGGATCTAGAAAAGTCTCATTAGTCCCTGAGGGGCGCCACCCAGGATGTGGCCTGGGTTTGGCTTCAGGCTATCTCTTGAACCGCGCCTCCCCCTCTCCCCACCCCCACCGCCGCCCCAAGATTCAAACAGCTGCGTGGTGCATGGCTGGGGAGACAGCAATGTCTGATGGGTGATTTTACCTCCAGCACCTTGTACGACCACAAGACGGACCACACATCCAGCCACACCTGCCACGTTCCCTGCGGAGACCGCTGGGCAGAATTTCAGTACCAACCACTGCCCAGGGTAAGGGCCCAAGACCCGGAGGCCATGGAGAGGAGGGTCAGCAGCCTTATGGGACCCTGTGGTGGGGATGAAAACACACCATGTCTTTTTTTCCTCACGTCTGTGGGTTTCCCTCCAAACCAGGTCCTGATTTTCACATGGGAATTCTGAGTGGAAAATGTCACTGGTTCTGTGTATGCTGCCCCGTGGGGCAGTTTCGGGGACACAGGAGGAGGCTGGTTCAGGTGGCCGGTGAAGTCCCTTCTCCCAGCCCCACCTTTCCCCTCCTCCTTCCCACTTTGTGCTGGACTCGGAGTCCTGGTTCTGGCCCCTAACCTGGGCTCGCTCCAATGGCCTTTCTCTACTGGAGTCCTGCTCCTCCCACAAGCTGCTTGTGGGTTTGTGGGGAGACAGGCTGGCTCCAGGCTGGAGTTTGGACCCATTAGCCTCCCAATGATACTAAAGAAGAGCTGGGATGCTGCTGCCTGCCCCTGAGGGGAGGGACAAGGGCTAACGGTGTGTGTTTCAAGACTTCGTTGGTAAAGGGGAAGCTGGGGGGGGGGGGGGGGGGGAGAGAGAGAGAGAGAGAGAGAGAGAGAGAGAGAGAGAGAGAGAGAACAGGGAGCATGCTCAGAAAGCAGGCGCAGCCTGGTTCCTCTTCTCCTTTTCTCCATCGTCCCTCTGGGAGAGTCCCAAGGGCAGGTCTGGACGAAGGGAGGAGAGGTGGCAGGGGCCCTAGAGAGGGGCCCGGGAGTGGGTCCCTTCTAAATTGGATTCAGAGTGATTTGGGCTTTAGAATCAGGGCACACGGAGAAGCAGGGCCAAAAGGGTCCCGGGGCCTCCCCCTGAGGGGCATTTCATTTCCCATCACCGTGTCCCCCGCAGGGTTCCGCTTAGCACTGTCCACTTCCTGCTCCTGATCTTCCTGAAGCTGCCCCTGTTCCTGGGCGTGCTCGGTGCTGTCCTCTGGGTGAGCAGGTGTCAGAAGGGCCCCGGAGGCGGACAGAGTCGGCCTGACCAGGGGACTCCACCACGCCGCCCACCAGCTCCGGGAAAGCCCTGTCCAGGAATACAGACCTTCCGACTGGACCAGAGAGACCTGCGGGCTCTGCACTCCAGGGCAGGGAGGCAGCCGTGCCCGGACTCTGCAGAGACCTAAGCCTTTGGAGGGTATTGTTCCTGTGCCTTCAGAGACTCCTGGTTCTCAGAGGACACCCTCTCAGGGGAGAAAGATGAACCTTCGGGCCCCTGTGTCGGGTCCTCCTCTCCGTCCCAGATCCTCAAGTATTCTCTGGAGGTTGCATGCTCAGAAGCCTGGCTCTTTATTCTTCTCTGTGGCACAAAAGCTTAGCTCAGTATCCCCCAGGGCAATACCACCTCCTCCCTGCAGACAGGAGGCTCCTGCCTGCCCAGGACTTAGGCCTGGGACCATATGGCGCCCTCAGCAGGCTTGGGAACTGACCTCCCACACGCCCCTCACAACGTCAGTCCTTGAGCTCCCTGGGCTCCATCGTCCCCTCTTCTGGGGGTCCCACACCTAGAACACCACGAGAACGGGGCGTCATTTACAGGCACAGGACAGGCAGGCGCAGGCCTGAGTGATGCATAGCTTAGATTTCTCTGTGTGACCAAGCAGAGAAACCTACCAGGAAGCCAGAGACGTGGGTTAGCAGAGCATTGGCGCGGGAGAGGAGACGGATGGAGAGGTGAAACCTTGTAAACTCATCGATCAGTTCTAGCAGTTTTTTGGTAGATTCCTTGGGATCTTCTACAGAGAAAAGCATTGTGCAAGAAAGACACGTTTATTTCTTCTTTTCTAATGGATATGCTTTAATGGTGTCCGGGAGGCCCCAGGGAGCCCCGGGAGGCTTTTAAGCACTCGGGTGGCCGTCGGGAGCATGTGGCATCGGAAATGCATCGGAGATCCATGGTTTTCAGGCATTTAAACTTTTAAACGAGAAGCCAGAAGTGAAATTCCTCCTGTCTGGCATCAAACGCCATTAAAAATATTGTGATCAAAATGGAACGGGCTTGCGAGTCCCTGCCAGCCGTGGGTGCAGGATGTCAGCTCTGAGTGAAGCGGGGACATCGTAGAGCATTGCTGTGTCTGCCCGTATTTACGGCTGGGACCATATGGCGCCCTCAGCAGGCGTGGGAACTGAGCCCCTCCCTGCACAGATGGGCCTGCGGGGACCACGTGCGGCCGTCCCGGGCTGGCTCAGGCCAGGTCCAACTCTGCTCCCCGACCTCGTGCCTGGGGAGCAGCGGCCTCGCCCTTCAGGTCTCCTTGTTCTCACATGTGACATGAACATGCTGGGTTAAGACTTGCACGGGGGCAGTTTTAAAACATGGATGAGCCTGACCGGCGTAGCCCAGTGGTTGAGCGTCGACCTATGAACCAGGAGGTCGAGATTTGATTCCTGGTCAGGCACATGCCCAGGTTGTGGGCTCGATCCCTGGTTGGGGGCGTGCAGGAGGCAGCCAATCAATGACTTTCATCATTGATGTTTCTATCTCTCTCTCCCTTCCTCTCTGAAATAAATAAAATATATTAAAAAAAAAAACCCATGGATGAAAACTCCTTAACTGTCCTCCTCCTATGAGGAGGGTTTATGTCCCCTCCCGGAAGTCTGTGGGCAGTGGCTGCTTCAACCAGGAAACACAGCAGGTTTCTCTACGCTTTTCCCATCATCCTCTTTCTAAGGAACCTGTTTAGATACCTTCTTTTTCTGAAACTCCCCCCATCCCACAACATTTTAACAACAGAGATATGCTTTTGACAAAACTAGTCATCTCTCCACCACCTCTATTAGTATCTTGACTGAGACGACAACAACCTAGGTGTTTACCCTTAAAAGAACTTATTAAACCATAAACGTAGCGTGCGAAGACTTTGTAATTTTTGAGATATAAACACACCTCAATAATTACTTTTAAAAATATAGAAAATAACATTTTAAAAGTTCTCTTAAAAAGTCCCCGTGGCCCTAGCAAGTTTTGCTCAGTGGATAGAGCATTGGCCTGCAGACTGATGGGTCCTGGGTTCGATTCTGGTTAAGGGCACATACCTCGGTTGCAGGCTCCAGCCCCAGCCCTGATGGGGCGCATGCGGGAGGCAACCAATCCATGTGTCTTTCTCACATCCATGTTTTTCTCTCTCTCTGTCTCTCCCCCTCCCTTCCACTCTCTCTAAAGAATCAAAGGAAAAATATCCTAGGGATTAACAAAAACAAACAAACAAACAAACAAACAAACAAACAAACGTCCTGTGCCTTCTTTATTCACTCCTAGCCTTCAATTACAGTTTGCATCTACACAGGGGGTCCTAGTTGCTACCTCTCTTGGGGGGGGGGCGGCGGACAGAAAGATATCTGCCAGGCTACTCCCCTCGCCCCTCCCCTGGCTCACAGGTACATCCCGTGAGACACACCTGACCCTGGTGCTTGATTCAGGCTCCCTTCACGCCCTCTCGAATGTATGGAAACAGTGCAACAAATGGTATCATCTCAAAGAGCCCAGGAAATCCATGGATGCAATAGGAACATACAGGAGACATATCGGTGTGAGCTGCGCGATGGTCCAGCCCTGTCTCTGATCGTCTGTGCTCAGGTGATTCTCCAGAAGGTCCCGATGCAACAGGAGGTGCGGTCAGCAGCCCTCTGACACCTCCAGTGGTGGTGGCGGTGGCGGTGGCGGTGGTGGGGGGCGGTCTTTGCCCTCATAGACACACTCTGAGCTTTGGGGTTAATTCAGGTTTTGTACCCATCGGTTGGTCTGGACTCTTGATTCCATTACTGGCCGGAGCCCTAGGCAGTGCCGTCCGTGGTCCATGACCCTGGGCAGAGCCACAGCAGAGTCACAAGGAAACGGGGCATCCACACAGGCAGGACTGCAGGTGACCGAGGGCCCAGGGCATGAGGGGAGCACCTCGCTCTTCCTGTCTCTGCTCCTTTGGTGGAGACTGGGGTGCGGAGCTGAGCCTAGAGGGGGCAGCTGACTGTGTTCCCGGGGCCAGGATGAGGGGGCCCTCAGGTAGCAGGCGCCCTCGTCTCTCCTGGAACTGCAGCCACTGCCCACCCTCTGATAAGACGGCAGGGGGTTCTGCTAGTCCCAGGCGAGGGTCTCGATGGCGTGGGGACTGCCGTCTCCTGCAAAGACCGACTTATTTCCCCTTGGGGTCGCCCTGGCTCCTGCTCAGCCACATCAGCGTGCACAGCAGGCACCCAAGCAGGGGCACCTTTATGACGGTCAGGAGCACCACGTGCAGGTTGCAGAGCAGGAACCTGTGCAGGGAGCGTGGCCACAGGGGTGAGACTCTTCTGGGGCAGCCCCCGTCCCCCTCAAGCACCCCCACCTCCCACAGCTCAGACTGGGTGACAGGCAAGCCCCGGTCTCTGTCCTGGCCAGGAAGGCCCCTCTGAGGGGCTCAGTCCTGCTGCCCAAGGGCTAAGCTGCAGGAGCTTCCCTGTGTCTGTTCCTTCCTGCCTTTTGGCTCATCTCCCACAATTCATTGCAGCTCACCCGCAGTCCAGCCAAGCTTTATTCTACTGTTCTCTCCACCTCCACCTCCCTTGGTACATCCTGCCCATTTCTGAAGCTCTGGTCTTTGGAGCAGAGGGAGATTCCCCTACCCTGTGAGCAAGGCTTTCTCTGCTGGGCTCTCCTGGGAGGGTCCTCTTGCGGCCGTGACCCCCCACCTAAGGGCACAGGTGAGGTGCACTTGACCATGTATCCCTCTTGGTGGACACTTGGCCCAGTTAGACGATTGGGCCCCGGGTTCCTATCCGGGTTTAAGAATCTGATCCCCTCGCCCTACGCCTCATCCCCTCTGCTAGGACCCTCGTCCCTGCAGGCACCCCTGCCCTGTCCCTCAGCCTGCCCTGTCCCTCAGCCTGCCCTGAGCAGGTGAGTCATGGTGATGTCACTGATGGTTTCCTGGAGGGAGAGAGGCGTGCGGTATCGCACACCCTAAAAATACCCACTGCGCTCTCTTCACAAGCCCTGCTCCCTGCGGCACCCATCACTCCCCCACCGTATCCTCCTGTGCCTCTCCAGCCTCGATAAATGCCCTGCCTTCTGCACCCTCCACTCGACGGAACAGCCGCTCTCCAAACAGGACAAAGCCGGGTCCTGAAGCAGGCCCCCAGAACCTCGCCCCATTCAGACTCGGCACTGAACAAACTGTCCAGCGGGGCCTGGCCCCCAGGAATCGTGTAGGGCTATAGGGTTAAGCCTCGGACTGACCTGTTGGCAAAGCCACAAGCAAGTCCCAGCTTAGAGGTCACAGCCCTCTTAGCATCATTAGGCTTGACCTTATGCTCCCTAGATCTTATCTGGGGAGGGAAATGCAGCAAGTGCTGCCAGAACAAGTGAAACTCACAAGAACATTGTAACTATGGTGACCACTTCCTTGTTTACCTCTGGCTATAAAATAAAGGCTCAGCTTGCTGTCTGGATCTCTCTCTGTGGCCTCAGCCAGGCACAGGAAGAGCCACCTACACCCAGCTTATTCTGTCTGTCTGTCTTTTCTACATCCTTCGCTGCCCCCCCCCCCCCCAGCCCCTCAGGCTCACCAAACCCTTGGCTGAGCTGGCCCGGCACAGAATAGGACCCTCGAGGAAGGAAGGGGATGGGCTGGAGCAGGGGAGTGAGCCAATGGAGGGCGGTCCTGAGAGGCTGGACCCCGGGCGAGAAGGGAGCCTGACCCTGGATTTCGGGGAGTCCCCCAGGCTGTGATGGGATAAATGTGGGCTTGGGGGTGCTTGCCCTTTGATGGAAGAACTCATCGACTGTCCTTTGGGAACCCTGAAGGGTGTGGACTTCAGGTTGATGCCTTCAGCTTCCCACCCCTTCCTCTCATCGCCCCAGCATTTGGAGAGAGAAGGGCTGGAGCAATGAAGCATGTATCTACCCATGACTGTGGCAGAATAATGATCCCCAAAGACACCCTAACCCCCAGAAACTCTGCATATGTTATGTTACATGGCAAAGGGGAATTCAGGCTGCAGGTGGACTTAAATCACTAATCAGCTGACAGAGGTGGGGAGATTATCCTGGGTTATGTGGGTGGATCCCAAGTAATCACCAGGCTCTTTACAGGTGGGAGCGGGGCCACAAGCCAAAGGAATGTGGGCGGTCCCTAAAAGCTGGAACAGTCAGGGGATCCTTCCCTTAATCTCCAGAGGAACTCAGCCCTGTCAACACCTTGATGTTAGCTCAATGAGCCTCACTTCAGACTTCTGACCTCCAGAACTTTTCGACAACGATTTTGTTGTTTTAAGCCACCGAGTTAGTAGCGATTTGTTACAGCAGCCGCAAGACACTAATACAGCAGACCTTCCTTCTAGCGCACTTGAGGCTGAACCCCACTACACTTCCTTTTGCTTCCTGGGGGGTGGGGAGCCAGAGGGAGCCAGAGCCTGTAGCCCCGCGGAGGGCTTGTTTAGGTTCCACGCGGGGAGTGGGGGGCCCTTTAAGCACACAGAGGTCAAAGGGAGCCGTGGAGGCGCAGTGCGGCTCTGCTGTTTCTCCCCTGCACGGGGCACATCAGAGCGGCGCCGGGGGGTCCCTGACCGGGCGTCCCCAGGGGAGCAGTCACAGGGCGGCAGCGGGGAAGGTCTGCAGGGGCCCAGCTCTGCTCACCTGGTGAGGGATCTGGTGAGAGCCATGCTGCTGTTGCTGCTCTGGGCGATTGGAGGTGAGGTAGCCAGACCGACCCAGGCGGATGTTGTCACAGGTACAGCCGGGTATGGTGACGTCAGTTCAGTCATATCTGTTGTCTCAAGTTCAGGCGGGTGTGTTGTCTCAAGTTCAGGCGGGTGTGTTGTCTCAAGTACAGCCAGTTGCGTTGTCACAGGTAGAGCTGCATATGTTAACATAAGGTCAGCCATGTGTGTTGACACAGGTCTAGTTGTTGTTGGTGACAGAGGTCCATCGAGTTTGCTGTCTGCGCGTATGTTTAGTGGGAACAGAGAGGGGTGGTTTCCCTGATTCCCAGAGTGGAGACAAGACCGAGGGCTCAGGAAGCGGACCTGTGGGCGGGGCTACCACCTGACTCTCCTTCCAGGTCTCTGACGCCAGGGAAGCTCAGGTGCTTCCGGGGCAGGTGTGGCTGAGCCCAGAGGCCCCTTCAAGGCTCAGAGGCAGCCAGGGGAGGCCTGTGGGAGGCCCCTGCCCCGTGGTGAACCCTTCCCTTCCGCCACTAATGAGTTCAGAGTCCCTCGCCCCCTCCTTTGCTCTTAATATGTTTTTAAAAATTGATTTTAGAGAGAGGGGAAGAGGGAGAAAAAGAAAGAGAGAGAGAGCGAGAGAGCGAGAGATCAATTGGCTGCCTCCCATATAGGTTCCCACCAAGGATCAAACCTGAAACCTGCCCTAGCTGGTTTGGCTCAGTGAATAGAGCATCGGCCTGCAGACTGAAGGGTCCTGGGTTCAATTCTGGTCAAGGGCACATGCCCGGGTTGTGGGCTTGATCCCCAGTAGGGGGCATGCAGGAGGCAGCCAATCAATTCTCTCTCTCTCCCTCTTCCTTCCTCTCTGAAATCAATACAAATATATTAAAAAACAAACAAACAAACAAACAAACAAACAAAAAACCTGAAACCTAGGTATGTGTCCTGACGGGGAATTGAACCGGTGACCTTATGGTGCATGGGATGATGCTCAACCAACTGAACCACACCGGCCAGGGCTCCTTTGCTCTTATGGAGCCAAAGGAGGGAGAGGAAGCAGGCGGGGGGGGGGGGGGGGGGGCAGGGAGAGGGCCACTTGTCTGGTGGCTGAGACAATCGGATAATGGCTTCCAGCACCCCACTCCTCCCTGCACAGCCCACAAGGTCCACCCCCCCCTCCCCCTCCCCGCTGTCAGTCACGCTGGGGCTGCCCTGAGGGTAGAGGCAATGCCCGAAAGGCCTGGAAAAGAGGAACCCCCTCCTTGCACAAGCCTGCCCAGTCCCGTTGGCCCTTCTCTGCCCCCTGGTGACACTAGATGGAGGTGCACACACATGCCGAGGCTTGCTCTTTCTTTCCGTCTCCCCAGACTCTTGGCATACCCCTCCACCACATGCACACACGTATGTGCCCACACGGACACACGGGCGCACACACACGTGTGGTCTCCAGCCTCCTCCACACCTGTCAGTGCAGACAGAGGGAGCGTTCTGCCTGCTCCATGGTCGGTCCCAGGCTCCGAGGACAGGAGGGGCAGGTCCTACCTGGGCCAACGTACACGCGCACTTGGTGCCCCAGGTCGGTTCCTGACTTCTCGATCCCGCACCAGTAGACGTCCTCGTCGCTTGCCCGGAGCTCCTCGATGGTCACGGTGAACCGGTTCCTCCAGTGATCGTCCTGGATGGACACGCGGCCACTCTGCACCTTCCACTCGGACCCCGTGGTTTTAAGGAGGGTGTCGCAGGAACCCCAGGCCTCTCCGCGGCACCACCACTTAGAGTAGCTTTCCCAGCCTGGGTCATAGCGACACTGAATGGTCGCCGAACCCCCTCTGGGGCCGCTCACGGACCACGGACCAGACATGGAGAAGCAGCCTGCAAAACAGAGGCCCAACGTGCACCTTCTTCCTGCAGCCCAGGGCTGGCGGGCTTCCGGCCCCGCCCTGGGCCCAGGGTCCTCACGTCCCCACCTCCTGTGTGCTCCTTAGTCCCCGGCACGGTTTCTTTTGCTGTCACCTCTCATGCAAAGGTCCCCTTTGGGATCTGAATGCCTCTGCCCACTCCCCACGCCCCGTTTCGGGGATTCTCCCATCCTGAACTCCTCCTTCCCACCAGCCCACAGTCTGCAGGTTTATTTCTCCTTCTTATTTTTAATCCTCACCCGAGGATAGTTTTCCATTGATTTTTAGAGAGTGGAAGAGGGAGGGAGAGACAGAGAGAAACATCAGTGTGAGAGAAGAGATCGATTGGCTGTCTCCTGCATGTGCCCTGACCAGGCCCTGGGCCAGGGAGAAGCCCGCAACTAAGGTACGTGCCCTTGACCAGAATCAAACCTGGGACCCTTTGGTCCCCAGGCCGACGCTCTATCCACTGAACCAAACTGGCTAGGGCCACAGGTTTATTTCTGAATCCTAGAGCCATGAGGTTACATCTGGGCCTCCTCCATCCCCCACACACCTAAAGCCCTCGCCCTCTGACTCTGCACAGGGGATAGAGTTGCGGAAACTAGACACACATTCATGCACACACACTCACACTCACGGCACACTCACACACACCCTTTTCCTTTTACCTTGAACACCGTGCTCTTTGTGTCTCCATAGCTTGGCACAGCTGTTCCCTCCCACTGGAAGGTTCTCGTCCCTCCGCTGAAGGAATCAAACCCTTGCACCCATCCCTCCAGGCTCAGCTCCTGTATCATCTCTCCTAAGGGTCCCAGATTCTGCGGCCAACACAGCCCTCCCAATGCTGCCAGACCACTTTGTCCTGGTCTCCGTCATCGCACTGACCACGCTGGGTGACATCTGGCCTTTGGCTCGGCCAGAGCAGAACCTCAGGCAGGCGGATGGGTGGCTGGACCCACGTCCAGAGAGCATGCCCACCCTGGCCTCGCTGCCCGTCCCCTCCCTGGACCTGAGCGCTTTCCTGGAGGCTTCCCAGCTCCAGCTGCCAGCCCACACCAGCTGCCAGGCTCTGGAACAACCCAGACCCCGAGCCCCACATGACCGGGTGGGTCTGAGTTGAGCGTCTGTGCTCCTACAAGCCCCTGAGAAGGATTCAAGGATTCGCCACGATCCATCCATCTGTGTCCACAGCGCAGCCAGGCTGGGAAACACTGGCCGAGAGGGGGCGCTGGTGTTCGCTGGGGTTTTCTGTTTCTTTCCTGCACCTGACAGAGACCCTGTGAGGTAGCAGCACCTCGATTTCCATTCAACCAAAAGGTGCCTGGGTGCTGAACGGGCCCTGCCATGAGCCCTGACGTGCCCCGTCCCCCGGGACAGACCCTCGGGTTTCCTGCCCAGCCTCGGTCATCCCCGTTCCTGACACGCCGGCCCCACTCACCTGGGACGATGAGGAGGAGCAGGGCTGGGAGCAGCCACATGTCCTGCCTGCGGGCTCTCTCCCTGGTCACCGTCCAGTGCCAGTGCCTCCGGGGACTTGCGCGGAGCCCAGGCACACTCTGCCCTCGATTTGTCTAAGTCATAATATTTTGTTCCTCATCAACTTCCCTTAAATTTTTGTCTTCCGTTACTTCCTCATTTCATTAATTAGGAGACAGGCAGTGTGGTCCTTTGGGAGTGTATGGCTGCTGTGTCGCCAATGATTTGGGGGAAGCAGAGCGCCCAGGGCTGGCCAGGGTGTGTGTGTGTGTGTGAGGACTGAGAAGGTGGCTGCCGGCAAAGCGGGCAGGGCGAGCAGCGGGGCCCAGGGAAGACCTCAGAGCTCGGGGCGAGGGAGTGACCGACTCCGCTGGGTTTGCCCTTTGGGGAGGACACCGTGCTCAGGGCTGATTCCCAGCATGGCCGAAGGGACACCCCATCCTAGCCTCCTTCCAGGCAGCCTCACCACAGGGCACCTCAGACCCCCTTCCTGCCCTGGGCCATTGTCCCTCCCTGAGCCTGACCCCCTGACCCCCTCCCTCCCACCCCCCCAGGACAGCTTCCTCCCAGGTCCTGAGTCACTCTCCAGCAGAGACCGCCTTGGGGACATGATAAAGAAGGAGAAGTGGCTTTTTGTCTTCGATGCTTTTTCCCCTACATCTTTGCCTGTTCCACTGGCTGTGGACTCACTGCGTGGACACTGCTTATGCTGATGAGCCCTCTCCCCTTCTCCTCCAGAAGCCCCCTCCCTCCTTCTCTCTCACCTGTCCTCTCTCCCCCCGCCCACCCCATCTCCTGGAGTCTGTCCTAGAATCTCTTGTCTTCAGGGAGTGTCCCTTCCCGGCTGCGTAACATCACCTCTGAGCACAGGACCGTCACAAACACACCCTCCTGCCACCCCATCTCCTGGGGTGGTTCTTGGCTGTCACTGGCAATGCCAAGAGCCCACAGCCAGTGAAACATGCAAGGATGTGGGGGAAAGCATCCAGGACAAAATGAGCTGAGGCCAAAGACCGCTCCGTCCTCGTAATGTCCCCAAGGCCCTGAGCGCTGCGCCCTCCCCAAAGGGCAAACCCAGCTCAAGTCGGTCACTCCCTCGCCCCGAGCTCTGAGCTCCTCCCAGGCCCTGCTGCTCGCCCTGCCCACTTTGCCTGCAGCCACCGTCTCAGCTCCTCTCACACACACACACACACACACACACACACACACACACACACACACACGAGTGGAACCCTGGCCAGGCCTGGACGCTTTGCTTCCCCCAAATCATTCGAGACACAGCAGCCATATACTCGTAAATGACAACACTGCCTGTCTCCTCCTGCATAATGAAATGAGGAAGTAAATGAAGATAAAAATTTAAAGGAAGCAGGTGAGAGAAACAAAACACAGTGACTTAGACAAATCGAGGGCAGAGTGTGCCTGGGCTCCGCGCAAGTCCCCGGAGGCACTGGCACTGGACGGTGACCAGGGAGAGAGCCCGCAGGCAGGACATGTGGCTGCTCCCAGCCCTGCTCCTCCTCATCGTCCCAGGTGAGTGGGGCCGGGGTGTCAGGAACGGGGATGGCCGAGGCTGGGCAGGAAACCCGAGGGTCTGTCCCGGGGGACGGGGCACGTCAGGGCTCATGGCAGGGCCCGTTCAGCACCCAGGCACCTTTTGGTTGAATGGAAATCGAGGTGCTGCTACCTCACAGGGTCTCTGTCAGGTGCAGGAAAGAAACAGAAAACCCCAGCGAACACCAGCGCCCCCTCTCGGCCAGTGTTTCCCAGCCGGGCTGCGCTGTGGACACAGATGGACAGATTGTGGCGAATCCTTCTTGGGGGCTTTAGGAGCACAGACACTTGGGCTCCAGCCCAGACCCACCCGGTCACGGTCACGGCAGTGCTCGGGGTCTGGGTTGTTCCAGAGCCTGGCAGCTGGTGTGGGCTGGCAGCTGGAGCTGGGAAGCCTCCAGGAAAGCGCTCAGGTCCAGGGAGGGGATGGGCAGCGAGGCCAGGTGGGCAGGCTCTCTGGACCTTGGGTCCAGCCACCCGTCCACCTGCCTGAGGTTCTGCTCCGGCCGAGCCAAAGGCCAGATGTCACCCAGCGTGGTCAGTGCGATGGCGGAGACGCATGGAGTCGTATCATGGGGAGAGAGACCAGGGGTCTAATTCTGGGCTGAACGTTAAGTCTTTGGGTAGAGCTGGCGCTGGATGCTCAGAGAGGACAGGGTCTAGGGAGGCAGAGCCATTGGGCTGCCCAGCTCTGCTGCTTCTCATCCTCCCAGGTGAGCAACTGAGAAAGGCAAGCAACTGAGGAAGCAGATCCACAGCCTCGGGGCGGGGTTGCCCGGGGGCGTCCTGGCTCACCCAGGAGAACCTCCCATATCTAGGTCTTCACCTCATGAGGGCTCATGAGCTTGTCCTTTTCTCACTCTTTAGCTCTTGCTTGAATCCTTTCTATTAGGTTTAAGAAAGACACACGAGGTTGTAGCTTCAATGCCTTTCTCTTATAAGATCACTTGTTCTAGAAAGTCTGGAACAGGAATGTATGGCGAGTCAGTGGAGAACATGGGATCAGTGTGATATGGATTCCATGGTTGGCATCACTGCTGTGGTCAATGTCAAAGGCCCCGCAGCGGGTGCTTGGCTGTGGAACCACTAGACCCACTAGGAGCCGCCTCTGCACAGCCAGGTGAGCGGGTGCAGCAGCTGCACCTCCTGAGCCCATCAGCACAGGCCAGGAGCACTCACTCCTGTGGCCATGGGTCCGCGGGTGCGTCCTCCCCCTGAGACCAGTTTAACACTGAGATGCTGCAAAAGGACAAAGATTTATGGGCCACAGGGAGCGGGAGGGAGGGAGTTATAGGAGATAATTATTGCTCAGAGTCAGTGCTTTGTTTCCTTGAGCTCCGCAGTGGCGCTGTTAGGTGGTTTTGGAGGTGGCTCTGAGCCAGGGGAACTTGGAAGGACAAAGGTCTGTGCTGTGGAAGGTGAATTCCTTCCTTGACTCTGTCCCACGCCTCAGGCCTTGGACTTGTCGGAGCTGCTCACAGTACAGGCGGCAGTGGCCCTGCCTCAGGTGGTGACAGGTACATGGGTTTGTGTTTTCCAGGCTCATCAGTTCCCATCACGGGTCCAGAAGCAGTGAGAGGTCAGGAGCGGGGAGTCTTGACCGTGCAGTGTCGCTATGACCGAGGATGGGAGACCTACCTGAAGTGGTGGTGTCGAGGGCCTGTTTTAGGAAGCTGCAAGATCCTTGTTCAAACCAATGGATCAGTGTTTGGGGAGAAGAAGCGTGTGTCCATCAGGGACCATCAGACAAACCGCACATTGACTGTGACCATGAAGGAGCTCAGGCGGGAAGATACAGACACTTACTGGTGTGGGATTGAGAGAACTGGAACTGACCCTGGGTTCCGTGTTAAAGTGACCATTGACCCAGGTAAGAGGACGTGCGTGTGTGGCTGTGTCTCTTCAGGGCCTGCTCTGCCCTGGTCCCTGAGGTCCCTGTCCAGTGACTGAACTCACTCAGATGAACTGCCACAGAGGGGGGTTGGTCCTGAGGTCTCATGGAATCCCAGCTGCTCACTTAGGTTGGGAGGTGCAAGGCTTCTCTTATATGCTCTTGGGGCTCAAGATGGGATCAAGCCTTTCTGGGCACATATTTTTCTCTGCACAGCTCATCGCCTGAGTCTATTGCCCACAGAGACCACAGTGATAGCCCCAGTTTTAGCTCATGGGCTGAAGGAAGCCTCTTCTGTGGGAGCCAATTCCTGCCAAGGCTTCCCTGGCACCTCTGGTGCCCTGGTGTCCCTGCTCTTCCTGGAGGTTGGGGCCCGGGCTCCTAGCCGCTGTTCCCACCCCTTGTTCCATATCTGGTCTCAGGGGGAAGGAGGCCCAGCACAGTTGGGGCTGTGGGTCACTCCCGAGGTCTGGAAAGGCTTCCTCAGCCAAACAGTTGCATTCTGGGCGCCTGACATCTCACCATGAGCCATGGATGCATCTGGGCTTAGAGACGTTCTCTTCCTAAGACCTTCTGGAATCGACACTCCTGGGAGCATCTGGGTGTGAACAAGTGTATCTGTTGGGCTCTGCTTCTGCCGACCCTGGGACAGCCAGCACCAGCTCACAGGGCACTTATGGCCGGGAGGGGACCCACTCATAGCGTCCCCACCACACCTGGACCCGGGCGGCCTGAGGGAGCTGCCAAGTTCAGCACGTTCCTTGTCTCATGGGATCTCGAGAATGACCCTGAGCAGGAACTGCCCCATCACAGAAACTTAATAACTTGTCCAAAGCGGAACCCCAGCTGCCCTTGACCTGAGGCAGTCCTGGGCCCCTTCACCCTTCCAGGGCCTGCTCGATGTCCTCTTGGACCTGTGCCCAGACTCGACGGCCTCTGAGGCTCTGAGTCTCTCGGAAGCCAAGGAGACATGAGTGTCCAGCTGGAGGCCCCATCCCAAGGCTCCCTTCCAGGCCCCACAGGCCAGGGCACCCACATTCCTCCCCGGCTCCGAGCTACGTGCAGGGCTGCGGGTAGGACAGCAGGAGAGTGGAATGTAATCTGTTCTGTATGACAAGCAGCAACTGCAGTGTTGACCCTCACCTCCGCCATCACCTCCACTGCCAACGCATTCACAGTACCAGACACCCCAGAAGACACCACCGGCTCCCCGACTGTGACCAGCCAGCACTCCGATGGCAGGTAAGTCAGCTTGGATGCTGCTGTTCCCTGTGGCCCACTGGTCCCAAACTTCTCTCACACAGACACGGGGCGTCCCCTGCGGAGCTCAGAGTGTGGGAGATGGACGAGCAGGCATTCAGGGCAGAGGGCATGGCCAGGATGTGTGGGCACGGGCATCATGGGGCCACAAGGCCCCTTGGTCCAAATTCTGGAAGAACAGGAAGGGCCTGGGGAAGTCCTGTTTCCCCAGTTACTGTTACAGCAACAGCAGTGATCCTGATAGGCCCTCGTGTCTCTAGAGCCCCTGGCAGCTCACAGAGGACTTTCCTGTCTGTTACTCTGTGCATGTGTTGACCCTGCCGACGACCAGGAGGAGGAACAGGAAGTAGATATGCACGTTCCCATTTTACAGAGGAGGAAACGGAGCCGGGCTCATGTTTCCCAGCTCTGCAGCCGCAGGAGCTTTCTGGAAGCTGAGAGGCCTCTTTCATTTCTCCCCTTCACCCTCCTTGGGCCTCTTCGCTTTGCCTTTAGATCCGCTGTATCTTCTACTGCTGGGCCTTCCCGCAGAGTCTCGATGGGACATCCCGTCTTTCCAACCCAGGGACGCCTTTGCCTCTCCCATTTGCTCTGTTTTCAGAGTTGCTTCCTACTGAACTACTTACTTACTTTTAAGAATATGTTCTTATTGATTTTAGAGAGAGAGGAAGGGAGAGGGAAAGAGAGAGAGAAACATCCATGACAAGAGAGAATCAGTGATGGGCTGCCTCCTGCACGCCCCCTTCTGGGGATGGATCAAGCCCGCAAATTGGACATGTGCTCTGACTGGGAATCAAACCAGCAACCTTTTGGTGTATGGAACGGCACTCAACCAACTGAGCCACACCGACCAGGGCCGAACTGCTTTTCATAAGACTAGCAAGCAGTTTTTAAATGCAAAAATCAAGGCCAGATGTAAGTGCCAATTAGGGCTTTTGCTCACATTATGGATAACTCACTCATTTATTCAACAAAGAGCGATTGAGCCCCCCTCATGTCTAGCACCGATTTAGGGAACACAGGGGGGATAGGAGATGAACAGAACAATCAAGCTGTCTGTCTGCCCTCCAGGCACTTACAATCGAGGGATAGTTAATGTAGCAAACAGAGTTAAATCATTAATTGATGGATTTATTTTATGACTTTCTGTGAGTTGTGATGAGTAAGAGAGAATCCTTGTGTGCGTAGCTCGGGCTGCCATCACAAAGCAGCACGGGCTTAGACAACAGACATTTGTTTTCTCAAGTTCTGGAGGCCAGACGTCTGCGTCAGGGTGGCGGCAGGGTTGGTTCCTCCTGATGCCTCTTCTCCCTGTGTCTCCCCATGGTTTCCCCTTTGTGCGGGTCTGTGTCCCAGTCTCTTCTTCCTATAAGAGCCCCAGGCATTTCCTCCCAGAAGAGCAAGCAAGGGTGAGAAGAGTGAGGAATCAGAAGAGAGAGTGTGGGGACAAGGGGGGGCCACTGTCAGCCTGAGGTCCCAGGCTTCTCCTCACATAGGTTCTTGAGATCCACACTCTGGGCGCAGGGGGGGGGGGGCTGGGAAGAGGGGTCCTGGCGGTAGCTCATTTCTGTCACCGTGTCCCCCGCAGGTCCCTGCTCAGCAGCACCCGCTTCCTGCTCCTGGTCTTCCTGGAGGTGCCCCTGCTTCTGAGCATGCTCGGTGCCGTCCTGTGGGTGAACCGGCCTCAGCGGGGCTCGGCGGGGAGGCAGAGTCAGCCCCGCTCTGGGGACCAGTAACCAGTAGCTCCCGTGTTCATCGATGTCATGTCTGAAAGTAAGAAACTCAAACGGAAGAAAGATTGTTTTATTGTGAAATGACGGTGGTCAGCAGGGACCGTGGCTCTAGAGGCAGCCTGGGCCCTGCCTCAGGGACAGGACCCTAATCCCTGGGGACCCACAGCTGTGATGCCTGGGCCTCTGCCGCCCCCTGCTGTGCACAACCCCTGGTGTTCCCTGTCCTGAGGCCCCCTCAGAGCAGGAAATACGAACAGAAGTGCAGGAAGAGGCCTTTCGCCTGGGGCCCAAGTCCTTGCGGGGCATTTCCGGCCTCAAGCCCGTGAGCCACCTGCCAGGGTCCTGGGCTGATTTCTGCGTCCCGTGTCCCCTGAGGTTTAGGGCTCCCGCCAATCCCGGTTTCACAATTCTTGACCCATGAATAGAAAAACCGAACCGTGCACTGACGACACGCCAACCACGAGTGAAGCCTGATGCACGGGGAACAGAAGCTTCTGGAACCCTTGCCCTGCTGCGTTTTTGTCACGTGTCGGGAAGGAAGTTCTGGTGCCAGCTCCATCCCTTGCCTCCTGCACGTCTGACGTTGAACTTGGCATCACAGCCCCTCATGGTCCCCATCACCCTTCCTGTTAGGATGCGTAAATGTTCTCACTTCTTTTGAGAGCATCCGGTGTGGCTGCCAGTCCCATTCTGGCGTCACAGGGAGATGCCCACGTATGTTGGGGACTGTGACGTGAACCATCGGTCGGACTGTGGAGCCTGGACCGGCCTAGCAGCTGGGAGCTTTCAAGAGCCAGACCTGGATCGCTCCCATCAGGATGGGAGCCTTCCTGGCCGTCAACTGTGGAGGAGGGATGAGGACACCAGGATGCTGCTGCTTCGGAAAGACAAAAACATTCTTCCTCTCTGGCTCCTCCCTGGACTTGAACTTCTGGCAGCTTCAAGATTGAAAAGGGAGGCCACTAGCGCAAAGGGCAGAAGAAACAGTATGAGACAGGCCAGGAGGGACGGTGTGGGACATGGCCAGGGGAGGTCTCGTCAACGAGGGACCCTGCTCATCCTGCTGGGGCCAACTTGCCTCACCGGGTTGCCCTCTGCACTGTTCTTGGGCTCTGAGACCCGCCATGAGCATCTCTTTTAAAAAAATCCTCCCCCAAGGATATTTTCTCATTGATTTTTAGAGAGAGTGGAAGAGAGAGGGAAAGACAGAGAGGAACATCATGTGAGAGAAGCACATTGATTGGTTGCCTCCTGCATGAGTCCCGACCAGGGCCCAGGCTGGGGAGGAGCTTGAAATCAAGGTACATGCCCTTTGACAGGAATCGAACCTGGGACCCTTTGGTCCACAGGCCGACGCTCTATCCACTGAGCCAAACTGGCTGGGCATGAGCATCTTATTTTTAACAGCGCATTTAAGCTACCAATGGACTGTGCTGTACCAGGTGAGGACTTTGGCATCTTGCCCTTTGCCCACCCTCCCCTTCCCAGTACTGATTTTGCTGGTATCGTACTTTTTGCATGGATGATATTTATATCCCCTTCTGTAAATATTTCCCATGGTCGTTTCGTCTTTTTTTTCCTATTTTTAAATATATTCCCTGATCACCATAGCTTCTTTTTTCTTCATTATTTGATTTATTTCTTGGTTGGCACAATTTCGTCACGATGTTGTTTTTCTATTTTCCAAGGGCTCGCGGGTGCTGTATTTCATAAGCACTTGTGCGCATGGGAGTGTTCGTTGCCAAAAGCAACGATCCTGGGTAGAAAATTCCCAGAGGGTCCCGTCTTTTCTGGGAACATGTAGATTTTTCCTTCACGTCCCCTGGGATGCTGTGCCGTGGTGACATCTGAGACCAGCCTCTCCCCTTCATATTCGCCACTTACTCCCTCTGACCTGGGTCTTCTCTGATACGGGCCCATGCGATTCTATCTTTGTCCTGGAGGCTCTGTAACTTCAGAAGGTTCTAGGTGTGGGTCATTAGGAACCCCCCCCCCCTCCACTGGGACACTGTGGATTTTCAGTTGCAGATGGAAGGGTTTCTTTATTTCAGGATCATTTTAAATTAAATTCGATCATTTTCACTTGTGGCTTATTTTTCTTTTTCTTAAGGAGCATTTGTGGAATGTCCTTCCTCTGTCTCCTGTACCTGTGTCTGCCTCTCCAGACATTTCTATATCGTGCGTGTTTAAACTTCACTGTTGGGCCCTGGCAGGTGTGGCTCCGTGGGTGGGGTATTGCCCTGTGCACCGAAAAGTTGCTGGTTCCATGCACAGACAATGCACAGACCCGCAACCCAGCTGTTTTATAGACAGGAATTTATCCCACAGGCACATTCACGAATGCATATCAAGCCACATATGCAAAGACGGTCATTAAGGAATTGCATGTAGTTACAAAGAGCTGAAAACAACTCACGTGTCCATCAAGAGGGAAAGAATGAAACAAATTGTAATATGCAGATATCATGGAATACTATGCAGACATTAAAAACAAAAGTCTACAGGCAGCCCTAGCCGGTCTGGCTCAGTGGATAGAGTGTGGGCCTGTGGACTGAAGGGTCCTGGGTTCGACTCCGGCCAAGGGCACACGCCTGGAGTGAGGGCTTGATCCCCAGTAGGGGACGTGCAAGAGGCAGCCGGTCAATGATTCTCTCTCATCATTGATGTTTCTATCTCTCTCTCCCTTTCCCTTCCTCTCTGAAATCAATAAAAAAATATTTTTAAAAATAGTCTACAGGTATTGATATGGGGTGATTTTAAAAATACAGTATGTTAAAATAGGCAAGCCACAGACAACACCTGTAAGGTGTTACTTTTCCCTGAGGAAGGGAAAGACCACACACACACACACGCACACACACACACACATACACAGAATTTCTTCAAAGGACACACAGGCACACAGGATAACCTACCGCCAACTGCACCCAGACCGGGTGAGCTGGGAAGGAGGGAGCAAGTCTGAATTCTCAATTGAGAGCAATCATGTGACTCACGGAGGGTCACAGCTAAAAACTTTCAGCGGCACCTCACAAATCACTTTTGGGGGCGTCCTTTTCTTTTAAGTCACGTTGAAAAGAAAGTAAGTTTACCTAAAATGTCACAAAAAGTGGTGAAAAAATGACAGAAAATGGCCTGGGCCCTTGCAGTTGGTTGGGCGTCATCCCGTGCACCGAAAGGTTGCTGGTTCAATTCCCGGTCAGGGTACATGCCCGGGCTGCAGGTTTGCTCCCCGGTTGGGGCACATGCAGGAGGCAGCCGATCGGTGTTTCTCTCTCTCCCTTTCTCTCTCACAATCAGTTAAAAAACCACACAGAATATGGATGTGAATTTTTGTACCTTTTCATGTTCTGGAGCCCTAAGGTTTACATTACAGGGGGCAGTCCAGCATAAGTAGACAGAAGCCAGTGGCCGGAAGAAGCCGCAGCTTCTAGCACAGGCCTTCTCCCTGGCTCTGCCGGCAATGTGAGATTGCTCAACACGTTGTGCGGGAAGCCACCCCACATGGGAAGGGCTGGTGCGTGCGCACACACAAGAGCACGCACAAAACCACAGAAAATATGAAGCTTCCTCAGCAAAAACTGAACAAGAATTTTTATTTTTACTGAGACGCCCAATTAAGAGAAGTTGTTTGACAACAGAATCCCCGAACTGCAGAGCTTTCTCCGGACATGAACCTAAGCTCCCGGATAAAGCATTTCCCACCTGTGTCTGCCTTTATTCGTCCCTGTGGCTGCTTCATGGAATTGGGTACATTCCTGGCCAGGTAACACCTGACCTGCCTTCCCATTTACGGAAACATCTCTACCCAGGAGACGCTTCACCTCTCATTCAACCACACAGGTTCAAGGTGAGGCTTGAGGGTGGTTTGTCAAGTTCTCCTTGAAGCCAGAGCAATGGAGACCAGTCATGAGCACATGACCAAGATGAAACTATTCAAGGCTTCTGGGGTCTGAGGAGGTCAGACAAGAGCTGGGGGCTCAGAAGAGCAAACTCCCCCCCATGTGGACCCAGCCTCACCATCTGTCCCGCCCAGAGACAGGGCCGGCTTTCTGGGGGCACAGCGCCATGCACACCCACCGGGCCCTGCACTTAGAAGGACCTCGCTCTTGGTGTAACTCTCGTAGCCGCCATTCGCATTTCTTAATATTCTGGAACATGTCCATTTGCATGGGGCCCTGTACGCAGCTGGTCTTGTCTAGACAAGGCCCAGTCATGCCTGTACCGCACGGGACTGCTCGTCTCGGCCACAGGAAATGAGCACTTCACGAAGGGCAGGGCTCCCTTGGGAAATGGGGATGGAAATGGACCCAGACTGCTGGGGGGGGGGGGGGCGGGTTTGCCGGCTGTGGCTGAGTGATGCGGGGTTGGGGGTGCTCTCATGTCTGGGGAGAGAAAAGGGAACTACAAGTTCAGATTCAGCATCGAGTTTCTCCATCCATGTGATGCCCCGCTCCCTCCGCTGCCTACACTTTCTGACCTGCTCTGAGGACAGAAACAAGCAGAGACGGGGCCGAGAGAAGCAGAGGAGGGGACGGGGGAGCAGACCCTGGGCGAGGAGCCTGCAGCCCCCCGCCAGGTGCAGCGGAGAGGCCTGCCCGAGGGACAGGGCCATGTGGCTGCCACGGGCTCTGCTGCTTCTCTGTGTCCCAGGTGAGCGGGAAACCTGCTCTGGCAGGTCAGGGTGAGCAGAGGGTGGTGATGGGCAGGGAATGCCACAGAAACACAAGCCAAAAGGGATGAGGTGTGAGTATAAAAACCCCGGCGCGCCCTAGCTCCTCACTGGGATGGGATGAGGGTTAAGTGGGAAATGCTCTCCGCGCTGTGAGCACAGACGGAGCCACAACGAAGTCTAGCCATTTTAATCATTAGTTCCATCACTGTTAGGGCCAGGAAGACGCCAGAGAGAAGAGGGCGGGGAACTAGGACTGTTGGGCTGGTGGCTGTGTTACCTGTCAAGGCAGAGCGGACAGCAGCGGTTCCTTGCAGTGAGAGGACTCCTCAGGTGTCTAGAGCTCGCGTGACTCTCCAGGCAGGAAGCAGAGATTGTAGGGGCCTGCGTCCTCGTCGTCTGGAACTGGAGCTTTCAGAGAGACTGGAGAAGAAAGGGCAATGCCAAAGTCTTAGAGGTGGCAAAGGACCTGCAGCTAAGGCCCAGGGCATGGCAAGGCTGGGGGCGGGGGGTGGGGGGGAGGCTGCCGAGGAGTAGGGGAGGGAAGGAACCACACTGGTGGGCCATCGATGTGGAGCAAGGAGTTCCTGAAGATATTCAGTGATGGCAAGTGTTGCTGCAGGAGTCTGTCCCAGGAGGGAAATCGAAGTCTTAATGTCCTTGAACCGTGGTCAAGAAGAGCCTCTTCTTAAATGGCCTCCTTATACCCTGGCCAACGCGCATCTCCTGTGTGACTCAGACCTATGAGCAGGAGGTCCTACCTGTACAAGCAGGGATTATAAACTCGGGGTCCACAGTGAGCTGAAGGCTTCCTCTTAGTTCCCAACACTGGGCTTTATCTAAATTTTCCTGTTCCCATTCTTATTTTCTGTTTCCTAGTCCATCTCTCCATCCATCCATCCATCCATCCATCCATCCATCCATCCATCCATCCATCCATTTCTCCATCCATCCATCCATCCATCCATCCATCCATCCATCTCTCCATCCATCCATCCATCCATCCATCCATCCATCCATCCATCCATCCATCCATCTATCCATCCATCCCTTTATTCAGATCATGCTTAGTAGCTTTATTCAATTCTAAGTAATGGATGGGACCCAGAACCTGTCTAGGACCACCAAAGTCTTCCTCTCCCCCTCACATTGTGAGTTGGTTGAACTCACACAGGCTGGTCATGGCCTCTTGAGTCTCAGAATCCCACAACAGGTGTCTCCTTAGATCTCCTCCTGTGTCTGCCTATACCTTGCTGGTGCCTGCCCCCTCCTTCAGGACTCAGGGTGACTTCCAAAAGACCGGACACCCAGGCCCCTCTGGCCCAGGCTCTTCCAGGGGAAGACAAGATGGATTGTGTTTTCCAGGCTCTTTGTCTCTGCGCGGCCCCAGTAATTTGAGGGCACCGTGGGTGGATCCCTGAGGGTGCAGTGTCGGTACCAGAAGGAATATGAGGCATTTAACAAATACTGGTGCAGACAGCCGTGCTTGCCACTTTTCTCTGACTGTGGAGACCAGCGCCTCCAGGAGAGAGGTGAGGAGAGGTCGAGTGTCCGTCCTGGACCATCCTGGAAACCTCACCTTCACAGTGACCTTGACGAATCTCACTGCAAACGATGCAGGAAAATACAGGTTTGGGATTTCCACGCTACTGATGGAAGAGGGGCTTCCTGGCTTCTTGCCTGAACCCTTTTTCCAGGTTCAAGTGTTTGTTTCCCCAGGTAAGGCCCTCCTTCCTCTGGTACCAGCGATGAAGGGGTCTGAGCGAATCTCTGCAGAGCATCCCAGGAAATTTCAACTCAGGAGAGGGAATGGGGCCTGGTGTTTGTGCACCAGAGATTCAGGACCAAGTGCGTTGTGTGTATGTGAGTGTGTGTGAGTGTGTGAAAGCATGAGGGTGTGTGTGAGGAAAACATGTGTGAAAATGTGGGTCAGTCGGAGTGCCAGTGTGTGTGTCAGGTGTGTGAGAGTGAGTGTGGGTGGGTCACATCCAGGTTTCCTGCCACCACCCCAGGTCCTGACAATGTCTGTGGGTTGAGGTGGGAGGGCCCTGTGTCATCGGATCCATCAGGACTGAGGGCCTCATGCTACCTTCCTGACTTCACAGGGTAGCGTGTGTGTGTACAGGGTGGAGGTCACTCCAAAGGGACCCCCTTCACACTGTCCGTTGGCTTGAGCTCTCAGGATTAAGACCTCTCTACAACCCCAGGGCCCAGGGCCTCACCCAGGGTCCGCACAGGAACTTTGAGATGGTCTAAAGTCAGGGATGGCCCAGACTGCCAACCTCATCCCTCTGACTGGGGAGCCCTGCACCAGAAATCCAAGGCCAGCCCCAACTCTCGCCCTGGCTTCTCTAGCACCCATCTTCTGGGCCTTTCTTCAGCCTCAGGGAAAGCCCATTTTCTGGAGGCCCTGGCCCCTGGGCTCCAGGTCAACGGGGTTTGTTGGTGGGCGTGGGGAAGGAGGGAGCCCTCAACCCTCTGTCTGGTCTGTCTGTCTGGCATCCTCCCCCTCCCTCTTCATCTTCTCCCTCCGATTCACTTGACCAGGCAGGAGAGAGTCCAGTAAACCCCTGGGCCTGACAGGGCAGAAGAGAGAAGAGGCACCTTTAACATGTTTCTGTTCAAATTGTTGCTTGATCTTTTAATAAGTCCTTTTACTTCTCTCTTTCTTTCTCTCTTTCTTTCCTTCCTTCCTTCCTTCCTTCCTTCCTTCCTTCCTTCCTTCCTTCCTTCTCTTCTTTCCTGAGAGCTGCATCACCCCTTATCAATCTAAGGGTGTGTTCTTTTTCTTCTGCTTCCTGCATTGTCTCAGCTTCTTCTGACACTTTTTCCTCATTGTGTTGGTCTCTCTCTTTCATGTTGGAGGCTTTCCTCTGAAGGTTTTGACTCTGTGCACTTAAGAATGCAGCCTTGAGGTGCTTTGTGGGGGCTGGAGGAGGAGCCTCACCTTTAGGTGACCGCCCTGAGATTCAGCTCTTTTCCTCCGGGTCCCTGAGTGTCTGAGTCTGGAGGTTCTTCCTCCGGGTTGGCCACTGAGCCAGTGAGATTCTCCAGTCTCCCGCCGGAGGGAATACAGGTGAGGCTGCCAATGTCCGAGGAGCTGGGCGGGCTGAGGGGGCTGGGGGTCCCACTTTCCAGAGTACAGATGCCATGTCTTTGGGGCTGGTAGCATTTTCCAGCCATCAGCTGTGTGAGGGAGCCCCTCTTTCAAACTTCCCTGCATCAACCTCTATAGTCTTCTGCCAAGGATGGGGGTGTGGGGGTGATAGGTGGGTGCACTGGCTGGGGGGGGCGGGGGGGTGGAACCTGAGGTCTAACTCTTGACCTGACCTTCGAGCACTCCTGTTTTCAGGGAGACGAGGAACGCAGAACTGCTTAATGGCAGAAGGCGATGCATCTCTCGTCCTGGTGATAGTGTTCACCTGGCTAAGAGCACACTGGGATGGGGTTGGAGGGGATACTCCTCCACGCTGCTCAGGCCTGGGTCTGACTATGGGGAGAGGATGGTCTGAGAACATCTGTTCAGCCCCTTCTCCGAGTTCCCCCTGCTTTGTGAAGTTAGGACCATGAAGGGGAGGGGTATCTAGGTGGGGAGAGTCCTGGGCGGGCCACTGGGCCCTGTCCCTCACCCTCCATCTCCCCCACAGCCTCCAACAGCAGGAGCTCTGCAAGGACGCCTGGACCTCCCAGCCAAGACCCAGGGTAAGGCGCACGTGTCCCCGTGTCTGCTGCCATCTGCACGGCATCTTCCCGAGGGTAGGGCTTCCCAGACACAGGTTTCCTCAAGGAGCCACTCACTCAACAAATACTTCATTTACTTGTTATGTGCCAGGAACTGATGCGAATGCTGGGGATATGACAGTGAACAGGCAAGGCTGTGCTCTCAAGGACGTTTCTTTCAAATGGGCAGATTTAAACATGACCACATGGATGAGTAGCTAGATAGGTAGGTGGGTAGATAGATAGATACACACACACATAGAGGCAATGCCATTAATGATCATTACTATGGAGAAAAATTAAGCAGGTAGGTATTAAAGGACAGGGTGATGGATGTGTGTGGGGAAGGTGACTGGGCATGATGAAGGCTAGTGAGATGCTCCATGAAAACAAGTAACAAAGAGACTTAGATTGGGTTTCCTCATAATCGGATCCCGAGACGAGAATTTAGGTGTCGAGAGTTTACAGAGAGGTGATCCCAGGAGGCCTAGTGAGGGAGCGGGAAGGAGGGAAGACAAATGAAGTGCCCCTTGATGAGAGCGTTCCCACTGGAGCAACCGGGCTCAATGCCCTGGGCTCCCTCAGAGAGGCTGCGCAGGACATTCCTCAGAGCTGCCCATGGAGCAGCGAGGAAGCCGGGGTGGGGATCCACACACGTCTGTCCTCCTGGCGGGGACAGATGGCAGGTTTGCTAGTTTATACAGAGTGATGCGCGAAGGCCTCCCAATTAGTGACATGTGAGCAGAGACCCAAAGGAAGTGGGAAAGTCAAGCAAGAAAGCATCTGGAGTAGGACAGTTCCGGGCAGAGGGTCACTCCTGGGTCCTGAATCCTGGGGCATTTCTGGCCTGCTCTGCCCAGCAAGCCATGCCCACTCCTATGGCCAGAGAGAATCCTCAGGCAAGAAGGGGCAGGGGCTTGAGGTGAGAAGCCATTGGCGGGTCCAAGACTGTCCACAGCTACCAGAAGCTCAAGTGGGCAAACAGAGGGTACCAACAGGGGTTGCTACATTTGTGAGAGCTGGAATGAGCAGTGCACTGGGACCCAGGGGGTGAGGGAATGGGCAAAGTCACTCCTTGGGGTAGAGGTCGTTGGGTGGTTTAAGCAGAATATCTGCTCCCATGATTGTATTCAAGGATGAGCCAGGACTTTCATTTGAGTGTGGAGTGGTTATAAGGGGACATTCATCCTTAAAGTTGGTCCCAGCAAGAGCTGGGGTCCTGTGAGTGTTGATGGCTGAGGGCTTTCTGGGTGCCAGGGTCTGCCCGGGATCCTGCATATGTCTTCCCTCTGTTTCTCACACCATGTCCTCATGCACCTGCTGTGTCCTGACCTCAGAGTTCATTCTGGAACTAAACAAAGAACAGGCGTCTGTGGTCCTCAGCATGGGGCTGTCTGGTCCTGACACCATCCAGGTTTGACTCTGATAATGAGTTTTGAGGTCATAGGACCTGAGCTCAAAGGAAGGTCGGGGAGAGGGGGAGCCTGGGCCTCCCATTGACTGCTGGCCACTGTCCCTCTCGCAGGTCCCTGCTCAGCAGTGTCCACTTCCTGCTCCTCATATTCCTGAAGGTGCCCCTGCTCCTGAGCATGCTCAGTGCTGTCCTCTGGGTGAACAGGCCTCAGTGGGCAACTTGTGAGGAAACCCAGTTTGGCTAAGACAACCTGCCACCGTCCCCGCCCACCCATGTCCTGTCCAGAGACACAGCCACTCGGGCTACAGAAGACAGAACCTCCACCCTGAGCCTTACATCCCATTTCAGCTTATCATCAGAGACTTAAAAAAACATTTTAATGACTATATCACCCACACAAACGTGTGTATATGAACAGTTGAAGGACTAAAAATAAACATCTGTGTACCCGCCATTCAGCCTAAGAAATCAAACATCATGGAGACATTTAAAGCCCCCACCTACTTCTCCCTGACCTCAAGTCCTGCCAGCGTCAACCACTCTCTGAAATGAAATGATTATTTTGTGCAAATCATTTCTATTACCCAATCTCATGGGTAAGAAGAAAGAGCACGCTTGTGGCAGTTTTTAAAGCCACCAAGAGGTGGCGCCAGAGGCCATCTGCAGAGCTTCATTGTGGACCTCTTCATGGACTTAGAAATAATTCTTCTCCAACAGGATTGCATCTCAGTTGCTGGGTCCCTCCCGACTGATCCCCAAATCCAGACCCATTGTATCCTGATGGCCTTTCCCCCAGGATGAGTCCACTCCCCGCCCCATCCTGCTCATCAGCCTGGGCTATCTGAGTAGGGACCCCATGTCTCCGTTGGGGCCAACCAGATGTGGACTCAGGCATTCAGGGGGCCAGGGCTCAAGGTACAACCAGGGGTCCGGAGCCCAGTGGGCAGCTCAGACTGGAGTAGACTGAACCTAGGGGAGGGGATGGAGCCAGGCCCTAGAGATGAAGACAGACCTGATTCCTGTCCAAGGCTTCAGATTTCTTGAGAAGCAACACCATGTGGATCTGCTGATTTCTCACTCCCTGGGAGAGGCAGAGAGACCAGGGATCAGTGAACACGTTCAGTGAGCTTGGAACTTCAGGTGGTGACAGCTGGCACCACTTCCTATTCCCCAGGAACAAGGGAACTTGTGTCTAAGGGACTAACTATGACCACTGCCAGGAAGCGTCTAAGGAAGGGCAGCTGTGGGGATGAGAAGCAAGGAGACAGAGGTGCAGGTGCAAAGAGAGATGGGTGGGAAGTGGGGAGGGGTGGCGGGGTCCATCTTGGTGTCCTGTGAGAGTCTACAGTTTGGCCCTGGCCTAGCATCCCATGAACAGCCTCAAAATTAGTCTTTAACATGATCTCTACATTGAATTATCTACACCACCACAGGCTGTGTTGGTAGACGTATTTATGCTATGTATTTATATGTGTGTTTTATTCCTACTAAGCCACCAGAAAGTTAACATTTTAATGTAATAGTCATCTTCTCATTGTCTGATTGATTATTCTTTGTGGTCATTAGTGAACAAAAGTTGATTCCTGAACTTGACACACTTAACACATGACACCGTTTTGGTAACCCTATTCGGACTTTTTTTTTCCAAGATGCTGAGAGCTTCAAAAATAAAAGCGAACTATGTGTCAGGTGTCGGGTGGGGACTAGACTTACCAGGTGAGCACTTTGTCAGATATATAAGTGTCTGGGCGCTATGTTGTTCACCTAAACTGAGGCCTGGAGAGGGATGGGCACTCTGACGGAAACATGGGGTCACTAAGGGGCAAGGGGAGTGAGACCCTTGTCAGGTCCCGTCGGGTCGAGTCGGCCAAGCAAGGAGAGTGTGTCTCAGTGGACGACGTGCGGCGAGGAGTGCCACTGCTGCTGTTGTTCTGTGGCTCTTGCTGATGCGCAGAGGAGAGAGAGAAAGGGCAACCGGGGGATGTCACTGCCATGGTGAGAGGACAGAGGACACAGAAGGCCAGAGGAAAAGGAGGGGAAGGGACAGACTGGAGAGGCTTGGAGGAAGGATGGATGGGGAGTGAGGAGAGAAGAAGCCCATGTTACAGGAGTTGGGTTGCAACCACTCTGGGTTGTTATTGCCTTCGGTTGCGGTAAGCTGGTGTAGAAGAGGAACAGGTCTGGGAAGAGAGTGTTTTGGGGAAATGGACAGACCTGGATTGTGCAAGACAAGGTTGAGAAAACGGCTTCACCAAGGAGACATCTTAAAATAGGCCCCACCTCTTGACCTGCGCCCCTACCATTTCCAGGGCCAATTGGCCCGGGAGCCATCATGTCCTGAGACTACCGAGCCTGTCTGAGGTAGGACAGACCTGCCTCCCCACCTCCTGGGAAGGACCATCCCCACCTCTGCCCCTTGAAGAGGCCCCTGGTCACCCCTATGAACCCCAAAGGTTCACCAGCGACAGTGCCTTTGGGAAGACCACCCTCTCTGTGCCCCTGGACGGAGAGGAAAGGCTCAGTCTCAGCTGCACAGGGTCCCCCACTCTCCATGCTCTGAGCTCTGAGCTCTCCTTGTCCACTGTCAGACCTCTGTGTGAGCCTCACCGTGGAGCTGACTTTCAGAAGCAGAAAGAGGAAAAAGTGAAGTCCTCAGAGGGTTGGTGAGCAGGGAACCCACAGGAGAGAGGACTCAGCCTTGGACGGGACCCCACAACCAAGATGGGACCTTTGAAGGCATCTGAGGTCGTAGAAGAGCTGGGGGCCCACAGGGTCAGCGCTCCCGTGGGTGCCTGCAGCTACATGTTGGGGGTCAGAACACCTCTGTGGTCACCACCAAGGCCCGAGAGGATGAAAGATGTGGCCTTCAGCCCAGCACTGTCATTCTTGACTACAAGGAAGTGACATATGGCAGAGGGTGGGGACACCACCAAGGAGGAAACGTCCCAGCGGCTCTGCTGTGCGGAGACGTGTGGCCGTCAGAGGAGCAGCCATGTGCTCTGAGAAGGGGCAGCAGCCTCTCTGAGGTCACGGGGCCTGTCCTGTCATTGGGGTTGAGAGCAGAAGCCCAGGGCACTAAAGGCCGGGGGTCTGCAGCAGCCTCTATAGCTCCTGACCCTAAGCTTCCTGCACCCTGACCATCAAGCATCAGACTCAAAACTGGGCTGGACACAGAAGCAGAGATGCCCAGAAAAGCGGAAGAGGGCACAGGCCAATCGAACCCTCTTTGAGGACGCTTGACCGTGTCCACCCATAGGACCTGGCGCTGCTGCAGGCTGTGTCTGTGCAGAGACATGACCCCGAGGAGTGGAGCCACGTGGCTGCCTTCAGCTCTGCTCCTTCTCCAGGTCCCAGGTGAGCGGGGCTGGGCTGCATGGGAGCTGGGCCCGAATGGGAATGAGGAAAGACTGGGAGGCGGGGTGTGGAGGGTGAGGAGCAGCCCAGCAGGAAGGAGGGAGGACATGGGGGAGAGGAAGGGAAGGCAGAAATGCTTCCAGGACCAGGCAGCAGGCGGCAGGAACCACAAGGATTCAGTGCACAAAGCAGGCGAGTCTCAACTACTGCGCCCTCAGAGCTGTGCTGGGAGGCAGGGTCTGTGCTCATCACCTTATGGTCATAACCAGGGAAGTGGGCCCTGGCTGAGGGCTCAGTGGTTAGAGCATCGACCTGACACAGGTTCAATTCTGGGTCAAAGGCATGTACCTGGGCTCATGCAGGAGGAAACCAATGAATGTGTCTCTCTCTTCCTCTGCCTCCCTACCTCTCTTACACTCTCTCTAAAATGGAAAAATATCCTTAAGTGATTAAAAATACATCAGAGATGTGGTCTTGGTTCATCACATACACACACATGTACATACACACATACATGTGCACACACTCCTTTATTCCCATCGTAGCCCTTCTTGTCTCCATGGACACGCTCTCCCTGTGTCACCACTGGGAGGAGGGAGCTATCGCCCCTGGTCCCCTCGCCTGGTCTGAGGAAAGGCATGGCCTCCAGACACTGAGGGCTCTTGAGGGTCCTGCACCCCAGGACGCCCCTTGCCCCTGGCCCATCTGGTAATAACCCGGGATGGGCTTTGTCTTCCAGGTTGTTTGTCTCTGAGCGGCCCCGAGCACGTGACGGGCACCGTGGGGGGATCGCTGAGCGTGCAGTGTCGGTACGAGAAGGAGTTCAAGGAAAATAACAAATACTGGTGCAAAAGCCCATGTTTGGCATCGCTGAGGACGAAGATTGTGGAGACCACGAAGTCAGAGAGAGAAGTGAGGAGTGGCCGTGTGTCCATCAGGGACCATCCAGCAACCCTCACCTTCACAGTGACCTTGGAGAGCCTCACAGAGGGCGATGGAGGCACATACAGGTGTGGGATCCATAGACCATGGACAGAAGGACTGATAGACCTCACCTTCCAGGTTGAGGTGGCTGTTGTGTCCCCAGGTGAGTCACAAACACTCTCCCCTCGCCCCAGATCCAGGCTGCCTGACCTGTACCTGGTCACCCGCTGGTCAGGGCAGACATGTTATTGAAGAGCTGGGTGAATGGGGGTCAGTGATCAGGACACAGCATGTGTGGGTGTTGTGTTATCTGGGCACAGGTGTGCCCTGCACACACACACACACACACACACACACACACACACACACACACACACAGTCTGTTCCAGACCCCTTTGGAGCCCAGGCCCTGACGGAATCTCAGGCCTGGATGGCTCCTGAGGCATCACCCTCACAGCCTTGGTCCTGGGGCCCTGCAGCTGCCAGGAGACGGGCCCAGAGGAGCCACGGTTCCGTGTGTGGGGCCCCTGTGATGTTGCGGGGGCCTCCCGTCCCTTCAGGCTGACTCTGTCCCTCCCCGTTTTTCTCTGATGCCTTGTAGCCACAGGGGGGAACCCAGAGGAGCCCCTGAAAATACCTCCCTCAGGAAGGAGAGGAAAGGTGATCACGTGGCGCTCAGGTGCTACGTCCCCAGCTCCCTGCCCGCTCTCCGCACAGTTCTCTCCACAGGTCGCTGTGCTTGTTGCCTGAGAGCCCAGTGAACATCACCTTCCTGCTGACGGTGGCGCTGGCTGCTCACTTCCTCCTTGAAGTTCTCGGTTTCTCACTCTCACGTGGGAGGTGCCCTCACTGGCCTTTGTGTCTTGGTGTTTAAGAGGGAGAAACTGGAAATTCATGGAAACCTCTGGCTTGAGGGAGGGGGAGGGGTTTGTCCCTCTGCCTTCGGGACAGGACACGTTCTATGGGGTCCACCTGGTGTGTGTGTCTCTAGATCAGGAGTGGGGAACGTCTGGCCCGAGGGCCATATAAGGCCCAAGAAATCATTGGGTCTGGCCCTGCCAAGGCATTAGGGGTGAGTGAATGAAACACTGGCCAAACAGAACAGGCTAATGTTTAAGTTGATGATTTTGTGAAGCCTGAGAATGATGTTCTAAATCTCCAAATGGCCTTTGGCAGGAAAAGACCCCCCATCCCTGCTCTAGGTCCTTCTTTCTGCTCATTTCTTCCCCCAGAGAGGACTGCCCAGTGGGCTGAAGGCCTGACTGACAGTGTGGGGGCTGGTAGCTCAGACACAGCTGGAAGCCCAAGATCAGGAGCCCGGCACCTGGGCGAGGCCCTCCTCTGGCTGCAAACTTTTGTTGTATCCTCCGGGGTGAGGGGCCTCCCTCATCCAGGCACTAACCCCAAGGATGAGGGCTCCACCCTCATGACCTAACCACCTCCAAATTCCTGGCCTCCTAATACCACCCACTGGGCATGGGGCTTTCAACAAAAGAATTGTGGAGACTCCAGCATTCAGACCATGGTGTGTCTAAGGGACTGCGGTCCCGCCATTTAGTGCAGACTCTGAGGCAGGTCTGTTTCCTGGGTCTCACTCCAAGCATTCCATGCCTGAGGGCCCTGGCCACCCATCACTCTAGTTAAGGCTACAGAATAAGTGTCACCCCACCCCTGATGGCGGGACAAGGCGGAGAAGGGGTGGCTGTGGTGGGGGTGTGGCCGGAGCCAGGTGCTCTTCCCACACAGTCAGATCCTCTGCTGAGCAGGACGACTCTGCATCCGAACGTGCCCACTGGGCCATGGAGTTCCTGGTGAGGGGCCGGGGACGGGGCCCAGGAAGGGGTTCCTGCTCTCACCTGGCGGTGGCCATGGAGGGGATGGCCTGAGTGACCTTGACCTTGTGTCAGAGTCACACAGCTGACAGAGTGGAAAACCCAGGGCCTGACATGTGCTTCTCCCTCAGCCCCCACCCTGAAGATCGTCACAAGCACCCTGGGCCCTCCAAGCACCCTGGGTCCTCCCTCCTCACTGCCAGTGACCACTGGGTCCAGCATGACCAGTCAGGAGATGCCTGATGCCAGCCAACACCCTCGGTAAGGGGCGCACATCCCAGGACTTTGACACCTGGTGGATTCTCCTCTGGACGGGGGTTGGAGGGGCGGGGGTGGTGACGATGTGGCTCACTGTGCATCACCGTCACCGTGTCCCCCACAGGTCCCTGCTCAGCAGTGTCCACTTCCTGCTCCTCATATTCCTGAAGGTGCCCCTGTTCCTGAGCATGCTCAGTGCTGTCCTCTGGGTGAACAGGCCTCAGCGGGCCACTTGTGAGGAAACACAGTTTGGCTAAGACAACCTGCCACCGTCCCCGCCCATCCATGTCCTGTCCAGAGACACAGCCACTCGGGCTACAGAAGACAGAGCCTCCACCCTGAGCCTTACATCCCTTTTCAGCCTATCGCCAGAGACTAAAAAAAATAATTTAATGAGTATAGCACTTACACAAACGTGTGTATATGAACAGTTGAAGGACTGAAAATAAACATCTGTGTACCCGCCATTCAGCCTAAGAAATCAAACATCATGGAGACATTTAAAGCCCCACCTACTTCTCCCTGACTTCAAGCCCCTCGTTCTCCTGCTGCCAGAGTCAACCACTCTCTATATTACTTTGTGCCAATCATTTCTATTACCAACCTCACAGGTATGAAGGAAGAGCACACTTGTGGCAGTTTTCAAAGCCACCAAGAGGTGGCGCCAGAGGCCATCTGCAGAGCTTCACTATGGACCTCTTCATGGGCTCAGAAATAATTCTTCTCCAACAGGATTGCTTCTCAATTTATGGTTCCCTCCCGACTGATCCCCAAATCCAGACCCATTGTATCCTGATGGCCTTTCCCCCAGGCTGGGTCCACTCCCCGGCCATCCTGCTCATCAGCCTGGGCTATCTGAGTAAGGACCCCCTTGTCTCCATGGGGGCCAACCAGATGTGGACTCAGGCATTTAGGGGGCCAGGGACCAGGGATCGAGGTACAACGAGGGGTCTGGAGCCCAGTGGGCAGCTCAGACTGGAGTAGACTGAACCTAGAGGTGGGGGTGGAGCCAGGTGTGAGAGACAAAGACACACCTGATTCCAGTCCAAGGCTTCAGATTTCTTGAAAAGCAACACCATGTGGATCTGCTGATTTCTCACTCCCTGGGAGAGGCAGAGAGACCCAGGGATCAGTGAACAGGTTCAGCGAGCTTGGAACTTCAGGTGGTGACAGCTGTCACCACTTCCTATTCCCCAGGAACAAGGGAACTTGTGTCTGAAGGACTCACTATGACCAGTGCCAGGAAGCGTCTAAGGAAGGGCAGCTGTGGGGATGAGAAACAAGGAGACCGAGGTGCAGGGGCAAAGAGAGATGGGTGGGAAGTGGGGAGGTGTGGCGGGGTCCATCTTGCAGTGTCCTGGGAGTGTCTACAGTTTGGCCCTGGCCTGGCATCCCATGAACAGCCTCCAAATTAGCCTTTAACATGATCTCTACATTGAATTATTTATACCACCACAGGCTGTGTAGGTAGACATGTTTGTGCTATGTATATTTTCATGTGTTTTATTCCTATGAAACCACCGGAAAGTTAACATTTTAATGCTATAGTCATCTTCTCATTGTCTGATTGATTATTCTTATGGTCATTTGTGTATCAAAAGTTGATTCATGAACTTGACACACTTAAAAACATGACACCATTTTGATAACCCTATTCTGAAATCATTTTTCTTTTAAGATGCCAAGAGCTTCAAAAATAAAAGTGAACTATGTGTCAGGTGTCAGGTGGAGACTAGACTTATTGGGGTGACCACTTTGTAAGGTATATCCGTGTCTGGGCGCTATGTTGTACACGTAAAACTGAGGCCTGGAGAGGGATGGACACTCTGACGGAAACTTGGGGTCACTAAGGGGCAAGGGGAGTGAGACCCTTGTCAGGTCCCGTCGGGTCGAGTCGGCCAAGCAAGGACAGTGTGCTCAGTGGACGACGCGCGGCGAGGAGTGCCACTGCTGCTGTTGATCTGTGGCTCTTGCTGATGAGCAGAGGAGAGAGAGAAAGGGCAACCGGGGGATGTCACTGCCATGGTGAGAGGACAGAGGACACAGAAGGCCAGAGAAATAGGAGGGGAAGGGACAGCTTGGAGAGGCTTGGGGGAAGGATGGATGGGGAGTGAGGAGAGAAGAAGCCCAGGTTACAGGAATTGGGTTGCAACCACTCTGGGTTATTATTGTCTTTGGTCGTGGGAAGCTGGTGTAGAAGAGGAACAGGTCTGGGAAGAGAGTGTTTGGGGGAAACGAATAGACCTGGATTGAGCATGACAAGGTTGAGAAACCAGCCTAACCCAGGAGACACCTTAAAGTAGGCCCCACCTCTTGACCTGCGCCCCTACCATTTCCAGGGCAAATTGTCCCGGAAGCCATCATGTCCTGAGACTACCGAGCCTGTCTGAGGTAGGACAGTCCTGCCTCCCCACCTCCTGGGAAGGACCATCCCCATCTCTTCCCATTGAGGAGGCCCCTCGTCACCCCTGTGAACCCCAAAGGTTCACCAGCGACAGTGCCTTTGGGAAGACCCCCCTCTCTGTGCCATTGGACAGAGAGGAAAGGCTCAGTCTCAGCTGCACAGGGTCCCCCACTTTCCATCCTCTGAGATCTGAGCTCTCCTTGTCCACTGTCAGACCTCTGTGTGAGTCTCACAGTAGAGCTGAATTTCAGAAGAAGAAAGAGGAAAAAGTGAAGTCCTCAGAGATTGGTTAACAGGGAACCCACAGGAGAGAGGACTCAGCCTTGGGTGGGACCCACAACCAAGATGGGACCTTTGAAGGCATCTGAAGTCATAGAAGAGTTGGGTGCCCACAGGGTCAGAGCTCCCGTGGGTGCCTGCAGCTACATGTTGGGGGTCAGAACACCTCTGCGGTCACCGCCAAGGCCCGAGAGGATGAAAGATGTGGCCTTCAGCCCAGGACTGTCATTCTTGACTACAAGGAAGTGACATATGGCAGAGGGTGGGGACACCACCAAGGAGGAAACGTCCCAGCGGCTCTGCTGTGCGGAGACGTGTGGCCGTCAGAGGAGCAGCCATGTGCTCTGAGAAGAGGCAGCAGCCTCTCTGAGGCCACGGGCCTGTCCTGTCATTGGGATTGAGAGCTGAAGCCCAGGGCACCGAGATCGGGGGTCTGCAGCAGCCTGTGCAGCTCCTGACCGTAAGCTTCCTGCGCCCTGACCATCCAGCATCGGACTCAAAACTAGGCTGGACACGGTAGCAGAGAGGCCCAGAAAAGCAGAAGTGGGCACAGGGGAATCGAACCCTCATTGAGGTGGCTTGTCCGTGTCCACCCATAGGACCTGGCGCTGCTGCAGGCTGTGTCTGTGCGGAGACATGACCCCGAGGAGTGGGGTCACGTGGCTGCCTTCAGCTCTGCTCCTTCTCCAGGTCCCAGGTGAGCGGGGCTGGGCTGCACAGGGAGCTGGACCCTGAGTGGGAATGAGGAAAGACTGGGAGGCGGGGTGTGGAGGGTGAGGAGCAGCCCAGCAGGAGGGAGGGAGGACATGGGGGAGAAAAAGGGGAGGCAGAAATGCTTCCAGGACCAGCCAGCACCTGCCTCAGCAGCAACCACAAGGATTCAGTGCACAAAGCAGGCGAGTCTCAACCACTGCGCCCACAGAGCTGTGCTGGGGAGGCAGGATCTGTGCTCACCACCTGATTGTCATAACCAGGGATTGGGTCCTGGAAATGGTTCAGTGGTTAGAGCGTTGGTCCGACGCAGGTTCGATTCTGCATCAAAGGCACGTATCTGGGCTCATGCAATCAATGTTTCTCTCTTTTTCTCTGCCTCCCTACCTCCCTTCCACTCTCTCTAAAAAGCAATGGAAAAATATCCTTCAGTGATTAAAAAAATCAGAGATGAGGTCTTGGTGCATCACACACAATTATACACCCACTCACATACATGTGCACACAGGCACATACACACACACACATACATGTGCACACACTCTGTTTTTCCCATCGTGGCCCTTCTTGTCTGCATGGACACCCTCGCCCTGTGTCACCATGGGAGGAGGGAGCTATCGCCCCTGGTCCCCTCGCCTGGTCTGAGGAAAGGCATGGCCTCCAGACCCTGGGGGCTCTTGAGGGGACCTGCACCCCAGAGTACCCCTGCCCCTGGCCCACCTGGTAAGAACCTGGGACGGGTGTGTCTTCCAGGCTGTTTGTCTCTGAGCGGCCCTGGGCACGTGATGGGCACCGTGGGGGGATCGCTGAGCGTGCAGTGTCGGTACGAGAAGGAGTTCAAGGAAAATAACAAATACTGGTGCAAAAGCCCATGTTTGCCATCACTGAACAGGAAGATTGTGGGGACCACAGAGTCAGAGAGAGAAGTGAGGCGCGGCCGTGTGTCCATCAGGGACCATCCAGCAAACCTCACCTTCACAGTGACCTTGGAGGACCTCACAGAAGGCGATGAAGGCACATACTGGTGTGGGATTGAAAGACCATGGCCAGAAGGACTGATACACCTCACCTTCCCGGTTGAGGTGTCTGTGTCCCCAGGTGAGTCACACACACCCTCCCTTCACCCCAGCTCCAGGCTGCCTCATCTACCTGGTCACCCGCTGATCAGATAGACTTGAAGAGCAGGGTGAAGTGCAGGGTCAGTGATCAGGACACAGTGTGTGGGTGTTATCTGGGCACACGTGCGCCACACACACACACACACACACACACACACACACACACACACACACACACACGCTCAGTCTGTTCCAGACCCTTTCCAGGCCCAGGCCCTGACAGAGTCTCAAGCCTTGATGGCTCCTGAGGCACCACCCTCACACCCATGGTCCTGGGGGCCTGCAGCAGCCACCAGGCATGCCCTGAGGAGCCCCAGGTCCCTGTGTGGGGCCCCTGTGATGTTTGGGGGCCTCCCTGCCCTTCAGGCTGATCCTGTCCCTCCTCATTTTTCTCTGATGCCTTGTAGCCACAGGAGGGAACCCAGAGGAGCCCCTGAAAATACCTCCCTCAGGAAGGAGAGGAAAGGTGATCACGTGGCGCTCAGGTGCTATGGCCCCAGCTCCCTGCCCGCTCTCCGCACAGTTCTCTCCACAGGTCGCTGTGCTTGTTGCCTAAGAGCTGAGTGAACATCACCTTCCTGCTGACGGTGGCTCTGGCTCCTTACTCCTTCCTTGTAGTTTTTGGTTTCTCACTCTCACGTGGGAGGTTCCCTCACTGGCCTTTGTGTCTGCCTATTTAAGAGGGAGAAACTGGAAACCCCAGAACCTCAGGCTGGGGGGGGGGGTTGTCGCTCTGCCTTCGGGACAGGCCACGTTCTATGGGGTCCACCTGGTGTGTGTCTTTCTAGATCAGGGATCGGAACGTCCGGCCCGAGGGCCATATAAGGCCCATGAAATCATTGGGTCTGGCCCTGCCAGTGCATTAGGGGAGAGTGAATGAAATGCCTGGCCAAACAGAACAGGCTAATGTTTAAGTTGATGATTTTGTGTGGCCCGAGAATGATGTTATAAATCTCCAATGACCCTTGGCAGGAAAAAGGTCCCCTACCCCTGTTCTAGGTCTTTCTTTCTGCTCATTTCTTCCCCCAGGGAGGACTGCCCAGTGGGTCAAACCTGTCTGACAGTGTGGGGGCTGGTAGCTCAGACACAGCTGGAAGCCCAAGATCAGGAGCCCGGCATGTGGGGGAGGCCCTCCTCTGGGTGCAGATGTTTGTTGTATCCTCCGGGATGGAGGGGCCTCCCTCATCCGGGCACTAATCCCATGGCTGAGGGCTCCACCCTCATGCCCTGACCACCTCCAAATGCCAGGCCTCCTAGCACCACCCACTGGCCCTGGGGCTTTCAACAAAGGAATTTTGGAGACACAAGCATTCAGACCACGCCATGTCTAACGGACTGCATGGTCCCGCCATCCAGTGCAGACTCTGAGGCACGATTATTTCCTCGTCTCACTCATCTCACTGGATCCATCAGCCACGCCCAAGGGCCCTGGCAACCTACACTCTAGTCAAGGCTACAGAATAAGTGTCACCCCACCCCTGATGGCGGGACAAGAGGGAGAAGGGTGTGGCTGTGGTGGGGATGTGGCCAAGTGAACTTCCCACACAGTCAGATCCTCTGCTGAGCAGGACGACTCTGCATCCGGACATGCCCACTGGGCCACGGAGTTCCTGGTGAGGGGCTCGGGGAGGGGGCCCAGGGAGGGAGCCCAGGTCTTTCCGCCTGTGGCCATGGAGGAGATGGCCAGAGTACCTTGACCTGTGTTAGAGCCACACAGCTGACAGAGTGGAAGACCCAGGGCCTGACATGTGCTTCTCCCTCAGCCCCCACCCTGAAGATCGTCACAAGCACCCTGGGCCCTCCAAGCACGCTGGGCCCTCCCTCCTCCCTGCCAGTGACCACTGAGCCCAGTATGACCATCCAGGAGACGCCTGATGCCAGCCAACACCCTCGGTAAGGGGCGCACATCCCAGGACTTTGACACCTGGTGGATTCTCCTCTGGATGGGGGGGGGGGGGGGCGGGGGGGGGTGACGATGTGGCTCACTGTGCATCACCGTCACCGTGTCCCCCACAGGTCCCTGCTCAGCAGTGTCCACTTCCTGCTCCTCATATTCCTGAAGGTGCCCCTGCTCCTGAGCATGCTCAGTGCTGTCCTCTGGGTGAACAGGCCTCAGCGGGCAGCTTGTGAGGAAACACAGTTTGGCTAAGACAACCTGCCACCGTCCCCGCCCACCCATGTCCTGTCCAGAGACACAGCCACTCAGGCTACAGAAGACAGAACCTCCACCTGAGCCTTACATCCCCTTTCAGCTTATCACCAGAGTCTTAAAAGAACATTTTAATGCCTATATCACCTTCACAAATGTGTGTATATGAACAGTTGAAGAACTAAAAATGAACATCTGTGTACCCGCCATTCAGCCTAAGAAACCAAACATCAGGGAGACATTTAAAGCCCCACCTACTTCTCCCTGACTTCACGTCCTGCCAGCGTCAACCACTCTCTCCATTAGTTTGTGCCAATCATTTCTATTACCCAACCTCACAGCTAAGAACAAAGACCACGCTTGTGGCAGTTCTTAAGGCCACCAACAGATGGCGCCAGAGGCAATCTGCAGAGCTTCACTATGGACCTCTTCATGGACTCAGAAATAATTCTTCTCCAACAGGATTGCTTCTCAGTTGCTGGGTCCCTCCCGGCCAATCCCCAAATCCAGACCCCTTGTATCCTGCTGGCCTTTCCCCCAGGCTGGGTCCACTCCCCGGCCATCCTGCTCATCAGCCTGGGCTATCTGAGTAGGGACCCCCTTGTCTCCATGGGGGCCAACCAGATGTGGACTCAGGCATTCAGGGGGCCAGGGGCTCAAGGTACAACCAGGGGTCTGGAGCCCAGTGGGCAGCTCAGACTGGAGTAGACTGAACTTAGGGTGGGGATGGAACCAGGTGTGAGAGACGAAGACACACCTGATTCCTGTCCAAGGCTTCAGATTTCTTGAGAAGCAACACCATGTGGATCTGCTGATTTCTCACTCCCTGGGAGAGCCAGAGAGACCCAGGGCCTCAGTGAACACGTTCAGCGAGCTTGGAACATCAGGTGCTGACAGCTGTCACCACTTCCTATTCCCGAGGAACAAGGGAACTTGTGTCTAAGGACTAACTATTACCGGTGCCAGGAAGCGGCTAAGGAAGGGCAGCTGTGGGATGAGAATCAAGGAGACAGAGTGCAGGGGTGAAGAGAGATGGGTGGGAAGTGGGGAGGGGTGGTGGGGTCCATCTTGCAGTGTCCTGGGAGATCTGCAGTTTGGCCCGGCCCTGGCATCCCATGAACAGCCTAAAATTAGTCTTTAACATGATCTCTACATTGAATTATCTACACCACCACAGGCTGTGTTGGTAGATGTGTTTATGCTATGTATTCATACATGTTTTTTATTCCTACTATGCTACCAGAGTTAATATTTTAATGCAATAGTCATCTTGTTATTGTTTGATTGATTATTCTTTGTGGGCATTTGTGTAGCAAAGTTGATTCCTGAA